AGTGCAATGGGAATGATCTACGGATCAATATGTACTGTCAAACAAATACACAGAATCTTAGTTTTTATTTAAACAAAAGTACAATATGGACTTATAAAAGGCCAAATGAAAAGAATTCTATTATCTAGCTACCAATACTGTCTCTTTCTGATCTGACTGGTACAAATATTTATAAATGTAATTTGATATACATTATTGTGGAAAGACACAAAGGTTTTGTTTAGCTTTCCCTGCGTTGGAAAGCAATGCACAAAAAATGATGAAAAATGTGCAATAAAAGTGCATCTGCTACGTAATTACATTGGTTAAAACAGAGTTATCATCTAATTTTTTTTTCCTTTATTCATTCACTGGACAATGGTGTCACTGACCAGGCAGCATTTATTGTCCATCCCTAATTGCCCAGAGGGCAGTTAAGAGTCAACCACATTGCTGTGGGTCTGGAGTCACATGCAGACCAGACTAGGTAAGGAGGGCAGTTTCCTTCCCTAAAGGACATTAGTGAACCAGAGGGGTTTTCCCCCAACAATTGACTCATGGTCATCATTACATTCTTAATTCCAGTTATTTATTGAATTGAAATTCCACCACCTGCCATGGTGGGATTCGAACTCAGGTCCCCAGAACATTATCTGGGTCTCTGGATTAACAGTCCAGCGATAATACCACTAGGCCATTGCCTTCCCTGTAATATCCTGTAGTAAATCCCAAATCAAATTAATGGGCAGTGTTATTCGAATTGAATTTAATCTATTTTAGGCTAATTACCTGTAGAGAAAGAGTTGAATAAACATGTAGATGAACCTTTGAGGTAAGCTGTGATGCAACTATTTCCTCAGTAGTCATGTGCTTGTACTCTGCTAGAAGGTGGAGCATGTATAGAACAGGAAATACTGCTCTGTAGCCTTGCCATCATATGCAGTCTGTTAATAAACATATTTTAAAGGTAACTCAGATGTCTGGCCTGAGATTGCGTGCTGATTCAAACAATCCAGCCTAGAACAATTACCCAGAGTGGAATTGCCCATTTAATATAAATAGCAACTCTCACAGTAAGGCAGTTTGACAGGCAGATAACAGGTGCCACTCAAGAATAAAAAATTGCCAATAATACTACTCCATGCCAATATAATACTCCAAACTGGACATCAGATTTAAGATTCAATATTGATAAAACATAAAATTGTTTTAAAAATCTGTTCCAATTTGTAATAATGCTGGTGTGTTATGAAACGCTGACCAGATTCTAGAACTACACAAGGCAAACCTCAAAGTTTGTTCAATTGTTTGAAATGGTTGAGGCCCAAGCATGAGAGAGGTACCTGAGCTTCTTCAGTGAATTATTTGCATCCAGAAAAATGTTACTACGTCTTATTTTAACTGTTCCTTCTAAAACATTCCCATACTTTACTTACTTATTAGAAATTTCTTCTCATTACTAGTTGGCCTTTAATAAGTACTATATAATGCATCTTAATATAAACAAAGAAATCTCATCTGAAAAGGATATGAAACAATTAAAAATACATTATTTGCACTGCATAAACACTGAGCACAATAAAACATTCCATATTAAATCTGTATTTGTTAATATTACTGATTTATCTGTATAGGTTCTACATACAAATCATTCAACTTTATATTGCACAGAAAGATAAGCTGTTCACTGGTAGACTAACAGTATTAAATGGCAGTATACATATACTATAGTGTGCTCTCAAATTCACAAGCTTGTTTGCCTGTAGCTTCTCTCAAAGGTTGGGTGTAAAAGTACCCGCAATTTATTAAAAATATGGCAACATATTTACTTTTCATTGTTAAATTAGATTCATGCTAATTAATCCATGCGTGCTTCCCTAGGCAACTGTGGCATAGTGGAAGTACATGTTAAAAAATGCACCAAGGCATCTTCAGGCAAGTAAAATCAGAAGGTTAAATGGTAGCCTAGGCATTTCTTCAATTGGGCAATTCAGTTGAAAGGACAAGACAAAGATAAAGCTATGTATGAATGATTTTGATGCTTATAATTGTTAACAGAAAGGTGAGCATCGGAAGCTGAACATTTTCACTATATCATGATCTGAGGAGAAAACCTGATGTGTACACTGAGATATCGAACATGTACATATAACAGCACAATCAGGAAGAATTTTGTTTGGTTTAGATTGGATATGAATCATGAACCTAATATGAAATATTAATTTCCTCTATCCTCTTGAAAACATTTTTAAAAATAGATTATTTTCAGTCCTATTTGGTGGTGTAGCTTTTGAATCCCCTTAGTGTAATACTTCAAAAGATCACATGTCTTAAGAATGAAGGGGTAGAGATTGAAAATTAATTTTGGAAGCTAATGATTTTTCTAAATATAGAATGTATTGAATACAGTATAAATTTGTACAATCTCAAAAGATAGTAACCAAAATTAGAAGGTGGAGCTGATAGCTGAATCTTAAACAGGATACCAAGTCAAACAAACCTTATGATTTTCTCATGATTACTTTGCCCATTTGGGGCTCTTGTGACACAATAATAGTCTCCCTGCCTTTGAGCCAGAGGCTCAGGTCAAGTCACATCCTGTATGGCACAACGCATATGAACAGGACAATAAAAAATATTTATATCGTTCATTCTGGTTGAAGGACTGCAAATTCTGCCAGATCCTGGAGTTTCCTGACTTATTCCTTCCAAAGGCCCACATCCAAGACAGGCCATTTTTCTGTATTACCTGGAGGTTACCTAAAACAGGCGTTAGGTCCTTTATATATGTAAAGGAAGGGCCTGATGCTTATATTAGGTTCCCTCAGCCTAACAGTGCTGCAGTGAGTTGAGTAGGCGACAGGGCCTGCCCAGCACTGGATTTTTTTTATAAATGGCTACTGTGGCTTGAGCAACAATCACAAATGAAAGGCAAATTTGAAAATGTTCCAGTTGAACAGAAGCACTCCTTCAAGCTCATTCTCTAAGAGGGTCACTGTCAGCGTGTGATTGATAATTCTCCTGTTCTTTCAGCCATGTACACTCTACACCTTACCCTGGGCACTTGCTGCAATATGAAATACCAGATTCTGAACTGCATGTGAGGGCAAGTCAGGCTCCAGCGGCTCAGCACATTATTTTGATGAGGCCCAATTTTGGGACTGAGCCACTGGTCTCCTGGTTTGCGCACACTGTGGTGCCTTCACTGTCTCACTGCCTTTACGGTTGGAACAGGGCAGCAAAAAAAGAAAAAAAATCCCACCTTGGCTTCCTGAAATGGAAAGAAAGTAAGACCCCACCACACCCCTACTTGCCCTTCCCCCATGAACTATAAGCCTTCACCTCAATGAGCTAGAAAGGAAACAAGGCACTGTGTAACCTCACCTTAATAAAGACATGAAGAGTAATAATTGTATGGACTACATTTTGATTACAAATGATAAGTTGCTTATTTTCAGCAAAGGATTAAATTATTTTACATTAGTAGATAAACTCTCATTGATTGGAAGAGGTAAGCAGGAAAGAATCAAGTTTGAAATAAAATTAAAGCAACCACTGAACAAAACACATCAATAACAATGGAACAACGACAGATACAAATGGAATTTGCAAACCAAACATAATGTAATGAATAAAAGTGATATTCAACCATTCCCTTCTCTGCCACTCCAGTTTGTGTAAAATTGCATCTGCAGATAATAATGCATGGGTGAGTTGGATTTCTAGAATTTCACATTTTTTTTCAAGCTTGTATGTGTTCCTGTGGTATTGTTAAACATGAGACAAACTGAAATCATTGTTGGATGTCGAAATAAATCCAGCAAAATTACAAACTTGTCAGCAGCCTTTCAATTTGTCCAAAAATCTGAAAATGGTATTTTTATTATAGATTTACATTTAGATATCAGGCTAAATTATTCTAATATCCACAAAAATCAAAGTCAGCGAAAGATTTGTTTAATTTTTATTCACCTTTGATAATTTAAACGTAATCTACTGGGATACTACACTACAGGTTGTTGCGCAGCTTTCAAAAAGGCAGGTCATGCTCAATCAACTTTTTAGACTGTTTCAAATAAATACAGATCACTTGAATTTTGAAAAAAAGTATGTAAGTTATACACAGCAGTTTTACGGCAATCTTTTGCATTTTTGACATAATTTTTCTCCTTAAATTCAGTCATTGAATGTGGATGTCACTGACTGGGCCAGCATTTATTACCTATTCCTAGTTGCCCTGGACGTGGTGGTGGTGAACTGCCTTCTTGAAATACAGCATTTCATGCACTGTAGGTAGACCCACAATGCCGTTAGGGAGGGAATTCCTAGATTTTGACCTAATGACACTGAAAGAATGGTGATATGTTTCCAAGCCAGGATGTGGTGAGTGGCTCGGAGGGAACTTGCAGGAGGTGGTATTCCCATCTGTCTGCTGCCGTTGTCTTTCAAGATGGAAGTGGTCATGACTTTGGAATGTGCTAAGTAGTATTGGTGAATTTCTGCCGTGCAACTGTAGATAGAACACACCGCTGCTACTGAGCATTGGCGGAGTGATGGAAGGTTGTGAATGTGGTATCAAGTGGGCTGTTTTGTTCTGGATGTTGTCAAGCTTCTCAAGTGCTGATGGAGCCACACTTATCCAGGCAGGTGGGGAGTATTCCATCACACTCCTGATTTGTGCCTTGCGGACAGGACAGGCTTTGTGGAGTCAGGAAATGAGTTACTCGCTGTGGGATTCTTACCCTTTGATCTGTGCTAAGTAATGTTCTACAGGGCTTCGTTATGGAGACTTTAGAATACACAAATATTATTGGCAAACTGAAAGAACAATATTGAAATTTGCATAATTGTGTACAGCAAATTGTGATGAGGCTTGTGGAGATTACAAGGGAACAGGTGTTAGCAGAAATGGCAGAGAGGTGGCAGATGGAATTCAATGCACAAACAATGTGTAGCAATATGTTTTACAAGGAAGGATAAGAGGAAATACATCAAAATGGGATGGTTTTAAATGATGTATGTAAGTAGAAAGACTTTGAGGTACAGATATACAAGTCATTAATGGTATTTGTGCAGTTAAGTAAGGCCATAAAAAATGTCAAGTGTAATCCTTGGTTTTACATTTAGAGGCACAGAATACAGAAGTAAAGAGGTAATACATAAATAGGATTTTGACAGTCCAGATTAACTTCAGTAATTATCGGGTGCATTGAGAGTATTTTAACTCCCAAGGGTTAGTTGGCCCCCTGATAAGGGTGGAAAGTAGCAGCTACATTGGAAAAAGGCAGGTGAAATTCTCTTGGCCTGACGCCATTGATGGCAGGACAGGGAGCTTCTCCAGTCCACGTACTTTGTGATAGAGGGGGCTGTTTGGCAGTGTGTATCATGTTATTGGAGTGGGTGTTTTAAGAAAAGTGGATCATCACAGATCATTGAAGAACACTTCTCATGTTGGCTCTAGACTAGGTCAGTGGGCCATTAAAAGCCACAGGGTGTCCTGACAACTCTGATCTCCTGCTTGGAATTATGCACCAGGGTCCTGCCCATATCCAAGAGGAACCTCAATTGCCATCATAACCGATGGTGTTAAAATCAGAAATCAGCATGAATGTAGAAGAAACTGGAGCCCTTTTATTTTCACTGCTCCACTACTCCTCCCAGCTGAGAGAAGAAAGTCAAATTCCCTGTTTTAACCACACTGCTGTCAGGATACTGTAGGGAACGTTGGAAACCCCAGAACGGATAGAAAAACAATGGAAGTTGTGTAGTCACTAGGATGTTATAAGCATTAACATTTCCAGACTTGAAAAATTAATGAAATTTGTTTGAGGTCTGTTATGGTTAGTGTAAAAAGGACAGATATTTGACCTGACATAGTCACAAAGATTAAAAAAAATAGATAAAACCATGAAAATAAAGGGACATTGTAATTTTTTTTACAGAAGAAAAGATAGAAGCAAGAGTAGAGCTACTCAAGTTTGTCCCTCCATTTAACAGAACCACAGTTTCAACTCCATTTTCCTTCTGATTCCCATATCCCTGGATTCATCAGACATCAAAAATTGGACTCTCTCAGGCCTAAGCATATTCATGGATGGAACATCTGCAATCCTCTTGGGTAGAGAATTCTAAAGATTCACAACTCAAAGTGAAGAAATTTCTTGTTATCTCAGTCATAAATCATTAGTCCCTTATCCCGGGACTGCACCCCTGTGTATTTTTTTCCCCAGCCAGGGGAAATCGAGAAACTTCAATTCGGTGACAATATGCACTAGTGAAAACAACCTCTCAGTTTTGTTAAGTATTTGTTTCTGTAGGTCAGCATTTTTTCCACATTTCTAGCAGTCCAAAACAAAGAAGAATTTAATTCCAGCTTTATCTTCACTTCATTTCTATTTTATCTTCATTTTATTTTGAGTATATTTGTACGGACCTAAATGGAAATCAGTTTCATCCATGTCAGCTATAACTTGATGTGATACTAAATAATTGGCAACTGCACATATCATTCTTTAAATTGGCATTTTTCATCAACTGTAAACATGTCAGATTATTTCTTCACTCTCTCTTAATACCGAAAATGATTGTGTCTGTTCAATAAAACCCGATTTACATACTGAAACTGCTCAGGCAGTAAAGCTTCTAAGAAACAGATTTGCTATCTCTTTCAGATGCTCATAAACCTACCGCATTTTTACAACTTTTATTGGAAGAATTCTCATTCCACAGGCAAAAATATGGATTTGTGAATCAAATGAGCACCACTTACTCCTTTTCCAGCATATCAATGTCACAGAAATATTATTTTAATAAACATACCAAGTTTATATGTATTAAGTGTTTCATATTTACTTAAAACATGCCTTAAGTTCTGTGGGGTAGTAATTTGATTGGTTTGCATAAGCTATGCAGAATTAAGCCGATTCTCCTGTTGCAGGCAGCATCACAGGCTGCTTCTTGTGTGTTTAAAGCAACTTTCTTCATTGAGGAACACCATGTGGGCTCTGTAGGTAGTGGTCTTCACCAGTGTCTGGCCCCTGGGAATAAACATGGGCTGTACTGCACTGTTAGAAATGGAGCTACATATTTCCCCCACCATATGTAGCAATAAGGATTAAAAACAGCCACAGATGGATTTTACTTCAGACCAATGCCATGCAGGAAGCTAAACAGGTGTTTTGGTGTACATTTGCCAGACTAAGGCTAGTTAATGTTGGGCTGTCCTTGCCAACAGCAAGTGGATGGAGGGGTCACTATTACAGGGAGAAGGAGGTGTGATCGTTATGTAGTGCTGACCCAGGTTATTTCTGTGGGGTGTGGAGGAGCACAAGAAATTTAAAATAAATAGATGAGAAAAAAAAGAGTAACTTTTGGACAACAATGTATTGTCATTAAGCATTTTTAAAAACAAACATTTTAGTTAAGCCAAAACAATGTCAAAATGCACAATATACAACTAACATTATAACACTGTAAACTTTTCATATAAAAATATATCTATTATATATGGTTTACACCCAACCTTTTGAAAATAATGCAAACTCCAATGCACAGTATAAATTCACATTTTGTAACACTTTTGAGGGGGTCAAACATTGTTGGCATTTTCACAAAGCAAGTAAGGATTTTTCTTCAGTCAATCCGACTCAATCTTATGTACATTCAAGATTTGAAACAAAATGTAACTGATGATGACATATAAAATATTTCTTTTTAAATAAAGTTCTTTTAGGAGTGAGTGAGATATGGTAAATGTACTCCATTTTGTCATGTACTCCATTTTGTCATTCAGTTAAAAATATTGAATGACTCGTAACAGATGCATGACTCCCCAATTATTGTAACCTAAATACACAAAAGCACAGTCACAAGACAATAAATGACCTTCAACTTAGTAGGAATATTCTTCTAGACAACAAGTGCATAGCAAAATACAAAATAAATTCTTGATAATTTAATGTACAAAAGATGCTTTACTGGCCTGTCAGCTAACAATTGAAAAGATAAAAAAACGGTAAGGCAAACACTTATTTGAAGTTGGCATAATCGGAGTGTATGTCTAGAAAATCTTGAACCACTTTGTAGCAGAAATCGTACTGCTCCTGCAAAGAGAAAGGAAAACATTTCATTTAAAAGAAAACAAAATATAGTTGATCCTTGACTTTATTTTTAAAAGATCAACAATATGCTTTGCTTCAAATATTTAGAAAATCAAAAACACACATCATACCAGTGTTTGCACCATATGTGGCCGTTGCATTCGGAGGCTCTTGACAGTTTGGAAAACATCTAGAAGGCCTTCGGCTTTCACTCGCTCCAGAATATTACTCAATGCAATAAATGTGCCTGTCCTGCCAGCACCGGCACTGCAAAATATACAGATTCAAGTTTTACTTTAATAATAAACCACCCTGACTGGATTCTACGTTGTTTCTGTCACCTTGAATTGACAATATTTCCCAGTAGTTGTTAGTCATTTTTTAGGTTGAGTATTTATTGTTTAAAATAAAGGATGATCTTGATATGACCCCCTCCAGCGGGAGCCTCAAAAGTTATACAAATTAGATCCCAAAATTGGATTTTAACTGTGGACTGTTGCTGTAATTTTCTCCACTAGATGGGGCACAGTTGGCGGATGAAAAAGCCAAATGTAAATTGGAAGCAGGAGGGAGGCAAAAATCTTCATACATTATAAAAACAAAAAGAGCTGGAAATACTCAGTGTGTTTGGCAGCATCTGAGGAGAGAAATCAGAGTTTGTGTTTCAGATAGATGACCTCTTATCAGGATAGTTCTCAATTGATTTGCTCCACTTCTCAAATTGGCAGCCACCAAATTTTGGCCCTGAGGATTTAGAAGATCAACAATATAGAGTTTTCATTCCCTGTTGGACCATGGAAAGTGAAGGGCTCTTGGAAGAATACAGGGAAAATGAAGACCCTGGTGTGGCAAGAGTGCCCCTCAATTCCCTTGATGAAGGATGTTTCATAAAATAGTGGGAAACTGTGGAGAACGATGATTTCACATGCTCAACCTCGAAAGAAGACTCCTACCATGCCTGGAATAACAGTAATATCAGCATCCCAGAATCAACACTGAAGCTGTCACTTCACAGTCCTAATAAAAACAAAGATATCAGCAGGGATGATAAGCAAATAGCAAAGTCTCTAAAAACTGTCTCAGAACATACAGACATCTCAAGCCCTTATGCACAAGAGGAAATAAACTGTACCTTGACTGCACCCAAGTCAGGGAAAATGGCATGAGTCAATAGAATTTTAAGATTCCTAAAGAGCATCTGATCACAGGGAAGGAACTGGCAAAGCTGTGTACTAACATCCATAGCACAGGCCCTACTCTAAGCATCTGACCTATTGTCCTGCTCTCAATAACATAGCCTGTCCTGGAATGTCACCTGCTGAATAGCCCAAGTCTCATGTTGGAAACCACAGTGTCCCTCTATCCCAATAAGCTGCTGTTATGAGCAGGTCATGACACAGACTTCATGTATTGAGGTCAGTTTCCAGAAAGGCCTGAAGATAGGATCCACCTTTGTTGACATATCTGGCACTGATAACATAGAGTGTGGCACACAGGCATGCTGCTGAAACTGTTCAAATTCATCTGCTGTGTGCAAACCCTACAACTTCATGATCAGCAACTTTCAGTTCTGTATGCACCTTGGAGATCAAATCAGCTGCCCATACATAACCAACAACAGGCTCCCACAAAGATCAGCCCTCATGTCAGCTCTCTTCAAGATAAATATCACTGACCTCCCTTCCAGAAAGTGACAGCTGTTGACTTATGCTAACAAACTGACCCAGGCTGACAAACTTCATAACCTTGAGAAAACTCACACTGAAAATCGATGTTTTCTTTAAACCTACCTCAGAAAATGAGAAGTTGGACCAAAAACTGACAGGACTGCCATTTCAGGAAACAGTCACATCCAATTCCATGACTGACTACTCACAAACAACCCAATGCCAAAATACCTTGACATCATTCTTGATTGTACATTGACCTACCAGCAACACCTCTAGAACACTGGGGCCAAGGTCAAGACGAAAATGAATCTACAAGGAAAATAATGGGTGCCACTTGGGGCAGCAGAGCTCCCACACCATGGACTGCTTCACTCACCCTGGTCTACTCAGCAGAATAGTCGTGTCGTTCAACCTGGCTCAGGAGTTGCCACACAAACATAATAGTTACGCACCTCCAGGAAGTCATCAGAATGATTTCCAAGATGTTCAGACCAACACAGCTTGAGTGGCTTCCTGGGCTAGCACATTTGAACCTCCCGATATCTACAAAGACAACATGCTCTTCAAGAAACATCCTTGGCTGACAGCTAACAAAGGACTCCTATTGACACAGAGGGACTCCTATTGACATAGGGCCTTAAAAATAAAAAAAAATGACCCTACACACTGTTCTGTAATCCCACAGTCCCTAATAAAACACAATCCACACCCAACAAACTGAAAAATGGCCCACCTCTTGGTGTGCCTCTTGGTTGACTGTAACCATCACCAACTACAACCTGGTAACTAACCCAAGCAGTGAAGTCCCCAGTTTCAACCTTCTCTAGAAAATCTTTTAAAAAAACACATCCACTTGAGGATAGGCCAGGGAAGATGTGGGCATTTACTCCACAACTGCTATGTAAGGAACAATACAAATTATGACTATGGTCATCAAAATCAGACCATTGGCCACATACTGAACTTTTCCTTTGAGAAATGTATTGCTAATGGCATCACAGCCATTCACATTATGCCAGCTGAGGATGCTCTATGGATTGTTAACCTTTGGTTTAAATATAACTGGTTTGCCCGGCCATATGATGAATTTTTAAAAAAAATCTTTCCTTTGTGGAGTCAGGAGTCATTGTCCATGGCCTGGCTTCCCCTGCTTTTCAAAAAACTGCAAATTATAAGTTAGTTTTGACATCTACAGTGCTGTGCTTTACATCTTTGTGATGTATGCCATTGGATTTGATGCTATTGAGTTTAAACTGAATGCAGCAAAAACAAAATATTGACAGTCACTTTAAGCAAAGTATGGCACTTGGGAAAAATGATGCACATATGGAAAAATCGAGTGCATAAATACTAAAAACACTATTGTGATTGTAGCCAAACTTCACTGTCTAGCTGTGATTTAGAGAAAGCTAAATCCTTTAAAAGCAAACATGAGAGAAAATATTCCCACTTGACATAGCAAAACTTTAAATGCCACTTGATTTTCATGAATGATTAAGTAATGGCTCTTAACATTGCTCTTTCTTGCTGCTGACCCAATGGAAAATATGGATTTAATGGATTAATGAATGCTTTAAACAATATTAGTGTCCACATTTGTCTTGTACTAATTGATTTTCAATCCTAGCATTTAGTAAATTAATCCTGGGGGAACAATGCCACTATAAATTAACTTCGGCTTACTCTCGTACTTTGTGCTGTCAACTGAGGTCAAATAAGACCTGATTTGCTGAAATCCCTCCAATACATTTCAATGCGAATCATGCAACTTCTGCCCTTTCAATCACTTTTCATCCGAAGTTAACTTAGCCTTGGGGCAGATTTCATCCTGACTGCTGGCAGAGACAAAGGGGTCATGAACACTTCCCAAATTGATTTAAAGGTGGCTAATTCGAGCAAAAGTGACTAACTAATTTACTCTCATGCTTTTAGATTCCAGTTTGCAATTGGTCTGCTTCTGAGTCTGATGTGAACAGCAGACAGCACTGAAGACGACACCCCTTAATCTTATAATTTTTACCCTGCACCTGCTGGGTTTGGAGGCAGTATAAGGAAGTAAAGATTTCTTGTATAATTAGCTCTTGCCGCATACATGCAACATCTTTTAGACAGGCGCAATAATTTAAAAATTTAAAATTCAATTTAGTATTTGGTCAAGCCCTGGATTTTGCAGCACAAAAACGCAAAATGCTGGCACTGAGTACAGTAGGTCAAGCAGCAACTGGAGTGAGGGAAACAGCATTGTACTTTCCAATGAGCACTGGGACCATGTAAGGTTTGCACTTGTACCTTGTTATCAGCATGCTCACTGTCATGAACTTCTGGGAGGCAGTGTCTCGGGGTGGGGGCAGGATAACATTTCATGGAAAACTGTGAAAGCTAGTGAGGCGCGTTTCAAGCAAGTACACAGGCACAGAAAGATGGGGAAGTGAAGGACAAAAGGGTAGGTCTGTGATAAGGTACAAGACAGCAGATATTAAATGACAAAAAGGATGATGATGGAATACAAAAAGTACTCGTACTGGGTTAAGTAAAGAAACAAAAGATGGGTTGAGAAGAAAGGGAAACGGCAATAGCAAAATCACAAGCCATCATTCAAAAAAAAATGGTTAAACTTTGAATTTGCTGAACTTAATGTCATATCTGGAAGATGATAAAGTGCTTCATTTTTACACAGACTTATTATTCTGGATTCTAGATACAAGTCAGCCTGTGCATTGGTACAGTAGAGATAATACAAATGATAGAAACATATCTTCCAATTTACGCTGTCTATCCTTGGTGTTCGACATTGTTGTGCATAGTCAGGGAGAGGTGAACTTAAAATCAACAGAACCAAAAATCTACTGCAAATAATTACAGAGCTGGTGGCTTTGATTTTATAGTCCCTTCTCGGGATTCATACAAAAAAATGATACTGAGGTTTGACCAGGCCTCCAGCATGAGGTCCTGTTTGTCATTCTCAACGTTAAGTCTGAGCAATAAGTACTAATGAGTTATATAATTACAGGAAAGGCATCACTTTTCAGCATAATCCTCTCTTTATGTCATCTGCAGATGTACACTTTGCACTTTGCCCTTGATCTTGCTTTCAAGTGAGAAGAGGAAACCTAAGTGTTGTTGTAATGAGGCATGTATATTCACTTCAACCATGACCAGTCAATAGACCAGCAATTGAAAATGGGACTCTCCTGATCTCCAAGATCTCAGTACCAGTGTCAGGTGTGATTCAGATGGTATCACTGACCTTGAGTGAGAATGTTGTGGGTTCAACTCCCACTCCAGGACTTGAGCAATAAAATCAAAACAGACACACTATGAAAGGTGTGTGATTTTTATTAAAAAAAAACTATATTGAAAAGAGTTTAGATTTCAAGCTAATGGCATATGGGTATTGGTCTTTTTTTTTGTGAAGAGTTTTAATAATTAATTAGGTCAGTCCTTTTGGAATCAATACATTAACCAGTATGTGTTAGGGAGCTGAAGACTTGAGGCCTCCTGGAGAGTTAATGAAAGTTTGTTTACATGGTGGGGTTTTACCACGAGTGAGGTAGCATTGAAATACATTGGCTTATTTTCGGGTTTCGCTTAGAGATGAGAAAACATTTGGTTCAGTCTGAAGGGACGTGAATGAAGTCAGAAGTACTAATAGATTCTTCAAAAAACCAACTTTGCTCAGAACAGTTAAGGGTATGGGTTACCTCAGTGCAAGGTTTGTATACTGTGAAAACTTCTAGACCACAGGTGCTTGATTGGAACTCTGCAGATTGTTAAACAACTAAGAAAGTCTGGCTCTCCGTTGTTGATCCATCAAGGGAAAAGTCCTCGGTCCTCTTGGGACTAGAACTGAGAAGAAGTAATTAAGTCAAACATATAGATTTGATAGGGAAAGAAACATTCCCTGGAATTTTGAGTAACTTGAAGTGATGGTGTTGGAGAGTACATGGGCCTTCATCTTGCCATGTGCTGTGAAGCCTTTCAAAACTTTCTCAAGGGCAAATAGGGACGGGCAATAAATGCTAGCCGGCCAGTGATGTCCACGTCCCGTGAAGGAAAAATAAAAAACTTGGATCTGTTTGGAAATATATATTGTTTTGCTTTATTTTTCTTTATTTATCTTCTGTGATTAACTTCTGTTTTACTGTTAAAACAGAATCTGCAGCCTTGTGTGTTTATGTTTCAGTGAAAAGTCACCACTTTAAAACAAGGAAAAGCAGAAATGGTGCAGATTTCATTCTGGAACGTCCAGCAGTTACATTAGCTGGGATCATTACACCCCAGTAAAAGGGGGAGGGAGTGCTACTCTGCCAGAGGTGTTACCTTTTGGATGGGCCATTAAACAAATGCATAGAAAATAGGAGCAGGAGTAGGTCATCCGATCCTTCAAACCTGCTTTGTCATTCAATCTGATCATGGCTGATCATCCAACTCAGCACCCCTATTCCTGCTTTCTCCCCATACCCTTTGATCCGTTTAATCCTATAACTCTTTCTTGAAAGCATTCAATGTTGTAGCCTCAACTGCTTTCCATGGTAGAGAATTTCACAGGCTCACCACTCTCTGTTGAAGGAATATCTCCTCATTTCAGTCCTAAATGACTTATGCCACATGCTTAAACTGTGACACTTGGTTCTGAACTCACCAGTCAGTGGGAATATCTTTCTTGTGTTTACTCTATTTAGTACAGAATTTTATAGATTTCTACGAGATCACCCCTCATTTTTCCAAACATGAATACAGTCCTAATGGAACTTGTCTCTCTTAATATTTCAGTCCTGCCATCCTAATAATCAGCACTCTCTCCATAGTCACAACATCCTTTCCTCAGATAAGGAGAACAAAATTGCACACAATACTCCAGGCATGGTCTTGCCGAGACTCTGTACAATTGTAGCAAGCCATCCCTGCTCCTGTGTACTCGAATCCTCTCACTATGAAGGCCAACATACCATTTGCCTTCTTTATCACCCATTGCACCTACTCCTTGCTTTCAGTGACTAGTGCACAAAGGCACTCAGATCTCATTGCACTTTTCCCTTTCCATAAGGCTGAGAGCAGAAATAAGCCATGTAGCCCAACAATTCTGTTCTGCCATTCAACCATTGCAGATATGTTTCCAACCCCATTCTCTTGTCTACTCCACAAAACCCTTGATCCCCTTACTAATCAAGAATCTATCTCTGTCTTAAATACACTCAAAGATTTGGCCTCCACAGTCTTCCATGGCAATGAGTTCCACGGATTAACCACCTTCTGGCTGAAGAAATTCCTCTTCGTCTCCATTCTTAAGGGTTGTTCCTTGACTCTGAGGCTGTGCCCTCCTGCCCTGGTCTCTCTGACTAGTGGAAACATCTTCTCCATGTCCACTCTATCCAGTCCTCTCAGTATTCTGCAAGTTTCAATCAGATCCCCCCTCATCCTTTTAAACTCCACTGAGTACAGACCAAGAGTCCTCAACCGCTCCTCATATGACAAGTCCTTCACCTCTGGGATCATTCGTGTAAGTCTCTTCTGGACCCCCTCCATCGCCAGCGTATCCTTCCTTACAGTGTTCTAAATGCGGTCTGACCAGAACCTTGTACTGCCTCAACATTACATTTCCGCTTTCATATTGTAGTCGTCTTGAATTGAATCCTAAGATGGGAGATAAATGCAAATCTTTCCTTTCCAACATACTGCAGAATGCATTTACTTTCTGGGGGTGGGTGTTGATACTGCTGGACAGGGAGCCTTACTCTACAGCATCACACAGCAGAAGATTACAGCCATGTTGCTCACAATTGGTCTTTCATTAATAACTGGAAACTTGTCTGATTTCCTGATGGGTACAGATGGTGTGCAATGCTTCCTACCGACCGTGCCGACCGATCAAATTAGCATTTCTGAGTCAAGACTATACATCAGAAAGGATGCTGTCAATCTTGTAACTACTTATATATTGTAAAATGAAGTACCTGCAGTGCACTATGATCGGATGATTGCCGGACTGTTGTTGCTGTCTCTGGACGGCTGCAATCAGGTCTATCATTCCTTTACCTTCCACTGGAATGCCAATCTCAGGCCAGCCATGAAAGTGGAACTGTCGAACTATCCTGCCCTTGTTTTCCTGCATTTTAATTTCAATGTTATTGCTTTCTTCGATTAAATGGGTATTGGTTCTCTATTAGATCAGCATAAAATCTTAACAAAACCTAGAAATACAAAATACTCACAGCTACAGACACTTCTGTTCTGCATGTTAATGTTATGGTCAAATATATGCTGTTTGGCAGTTCATAACATTATTTTAATATACCTCCCAACATCCTTTGTTTTGTGGCGTATGGAATATAAATATTAGAATCACTATCTTAAATTGTTGAAAGGAAACTTGGTGAGTACATGATGGAGACAGGAATTGATAAGGTGACACAAGGATGTGAGGAGTGAAAGGAAAACAGAGTTAAGGGCACAATCACATCAATCCTGATCCTACTGAATGTTGAAGTAGGCTCAAGGGTCTTAAAAATTCCTAATCCTGCTCTTGTTTCTTATGATTTTTTTTTTGTGGATCATGAACTCCAGCATATGCAGTTTGGGCCAAATGGCCTATTCCTATGACGCAACTTCTATCAAGTTTGATAACCAATGTGTGCAGTGAAATGGAAAGAATTAGTTTGGTGGGATATCGAATCCTAACTGCATATTTTTTGATATCCCTCATGCTAAAGTACGACAGGTATATGAAGAGGTTAATAGCAGTAGCTGATACAACATCATATAATTTCTACATTCTTATATATATTAAAAAGTTTATCATTCTTCATGAAAACTGGCCCTATAATATACAATATTTGTTTCAATCTCTCACAGTAGTTTTATCTATGAAATTTAGTTACACTAATTATTTCAAGTTTATTTAAATCAATTTGCAGTCTACTTTCTCTTTGGATTCTTAGACTTTCACGGTCATTATGTAAAATTGACCATTTGTTATTGGGATCTCTGAAAGAACAATGATGAATTCCCCCAAAAAGTCTTCCAAAATCAAAATATTTTCTGGGTTGTTCAAATCATCACGATGTGATGTGTCATAAAATAATGAACACATTAATGTGCATAAAATTCCTTTGTCCATTATGTTAATGATGAGTTACTGCTTTGTTTAACATAATAGACTGTTTTTTTTCCACATGAATCCATTAACACATTTATTACTAATATCACGGGGGAGGATTTCAATCCCTCTAGTCATCTCACATAATCTAGGCTGACACCACCAAACAGTGCTCAGAGTACAGATTTGTCAGAGGTGCCTCATTCACGTGTTCAGATAGTATAGACAGATGCTTAAAAATCCATGAAACAATTAAAAGATCAGCAGGGAGTTTATTCAGTGCTCTGGACACTGGTTTACATTGTGGGAGCAAACTACTCATCTTTCCACTTTGATTACCTTTGCTGGCTGTAAATAAAAGCTCATTTTTTCCAAGAATTGTCCGACTGCTTACTTGTGTGAGACGTTCCCCTACTGGACGGTGACGAGACTTAAAACAAAAACAGAAGTTGCTGGTAAAGCTCAGCAGGTCTGGCAGCATCTGTGAAGAGAAATCAGAGCTAACATTTCGGGTCCGGTGACCCTTCCTCAAAATGTTAACTTTGATTTCTCTTCACAGATGCTGCCAGGCCTGCTGAGCTTTACCAGCAACTTCTGTTTTTGTTGTTGACTTACAGCATCTGCAATTCTTTTGGTTTTTATTTAGTGACAAGATGTGCATGTTCAGTGGGCACCTGGGATAGAGTGATGATGACCTCGAAGGGTGTTCAGATGCGATGTAGCTAAGGAAGGGTAATGCGTGTGGTGTGGCGGTCAAACAGAGACTAGGGGTGAGGGAACAGGATTTGATGTGCAAGAGAGTGGCAGCCATGCTGGTGATGTGCTGTGAGCAGTATGGCTTTGTGGCTGCTGTCATTACACTGTGGGTGAGGGGCAACACTGGATTGCCAACACTTGTCTGGGTGCACAGCAGCCTTTGAAAGATGGCGCAAGTGCAAGGGCTACTGGTTTTCTCGTTGATATCTGCTGATTTGTGAGTTGTTCCAGGAACAGCACTTGGTAAGATGGAGATAGAATTGGACATGAGGAGCACCATAGGAGTGGGGTAGATAGTTAATGAGGCAGGTTCAGTAAGATAGAGGGAGAAATCACTCGAGGCCTCATGCGAAAAATGCTCCAGAAAACTTGACACAACTGGCACTTAGCTTAAAAAAGACATTAAGATTCAGTGAATTGTGAGACCTGTGAGTATAGCTCTGCATTTCATGAGATCCTGAGATTGTTCTGCCTTATCCCCACCAAAGCCTATATGACATCAGATTGGAATTCAATGCTGTATCATTAACCCTTGCAAAACAATTACCTTACACAATAACACACAGTAGCATTTTAGTGGACCTCACATTTCCAGATAGTTGACTATTGAAGCCTATCCATGAGTATGTTGGAGTGGTCAAGTTTGAGATAACAAAGGAGTGAATGAGGGTTTCAGTAGCAGATGAGCTGAGAGAGGGGTGAAAACGAATGATGTGAAAGAAACAGGTGGTCTTAGTAACAGCACAAATATGAGGTTGAAACGTGATGTAAATTGTCAGGGAAAAAGCTTCATTCAGACTGATGCCATGGAGAGAAAAGGAGCAAGTCACCAGGGAAACAGAGTTTGGAACAGGGACTGAAAACAACAGCTTCGGTCTGCTTAATATTTAATTGGAGGAAATTTCTGCTCATCGAGTACCAGAGGTCAAATAAGTAGCCTGATAATTTGTCAATGGTGATTTGAGGAAGGGATGGTTAGATAGAGCTGGGTGTTTTTAACATGTGCAAAAACAATGCTGTGCTGTTGCATGAAGTTGCCAAGGGGTCGTGTATAGATGAGAAATTGGATAGGCTCAAAAATAGATCCTGAGAGTCAGTCACCTGTGGTAACAATGTCAGAGCAGGAAGAGAAGCCAATGCAAGTGATTCTATGGCTACAATAAGAAACAGAGTGGTCACTTGTATCAAAGACTGCAGAAAGGTCAAAAAAGAATGAACAGGAAAGGTTTACCTTTCTTACAGTCACATAGGATGTAAATTTGTCATTTTAACAACAACTGTATTGGTATTATGACAAGGGTGGAAACCTAATTTGAGGGATTCAAACATGGAGCTCTGGAGAAAGTAGGAATAGATTCACAAAGTGACAACATGTTTGAGGGAGTTTGAGAGAAAATGTTGAGATAGGATTGTAATTTGCGAGGACGATGGGGCCAAACTTTATGTCTCTTGGAAGTAGAAGAAGAAAACATTAAGTGCCCTCAAAAAGAAACAGCCTGATTCCTTGTGGGAACATCACCTAGTAACAAGCAACTCTGGAACAGAATTTTTTTAATCTGGGAGGGAAAAACAGTGTTGATTAAACTTAAAGCATCTGGCTCCACCATGCAAGCTAAAGAAAGACAAAGGCGTATCACTAGATTTAAAATAAAACATTAACTATCCATTATTTTTCACATCTTAATAAAAATCTGAAGCAACACATACTGTGGCATTTGTGACAGTAAGGTCCCTGATACTGAAAGCATCAGAAAAATGGTCATTCTTCAGTTCTATTGTGTAGGCTCCATATGTTACAGTGCCCTCTGATGGCCAATACTGTGAACACTTTTCCTGCAAGAACACAATAAGTTACTGCATGTTTTAAAATCACAGTGGAACAATTCTATAAAAACCTTTGCCATGTTAGAAATCAGTACTTAGAAAATAATTTTTATTGACCTTTTAAGACCCCCACTGAGTGACTGGTTTCAGCGGTTAATGCAACTATGATGGTAGGCCTTTTAAGTTGTCTCGGGGTCCCAGCTAAGCACTGGACTCCAATTAACATATTTACAAGACATAATTTCAACTGCTCAGCATTATAATCACCCCAAGGTGGTACTGAAGTGCAGAAATTGAATGGAGGGATCACATATCCCTATAAAGCATCTACAGTCTGGGAATGAGCTGGATTAACCTGTTGAGAGCTGAATTTATGTACAAAACAGATATATGGCTGAATTTTAGGCAAGTTATTAGCGAATATGTTATGTGGCATATAAATAAGCTAAGTGCGTTCAATTAAAGAAAGATTTCGTAAATTGTTGCAGTTAATCCATAATTTTTTATTGTAATTGTTAAATAGCATGGTTTATTTACTAAATTAATGTTATAATTCCTCCTCTTCATTTATTATAATTTATTGTTTGATTACTGATAGACCTTTGCAGTTTCAAGATAGATACATTTCCTGACATATAATGCATTATTAAACAGCAATATTTGATTATTTTTCTGAACTTTTCAAGTTTGATTGCAATAAAAACACTTCATTCTATGTATGCCCATTGTATTAAATGTAATTCTATAATATCATACCTGCTCTCTTTCTCTGAGTTCTGTGAGCATCACAATGGTATGAGATTTGCAATCCCAAACCATTCTCCAAAAATCCTCCACTGTATTTGGAATTGGGCCTTGAGTAGCAATAAAATAATCCTTCTGCCGGTAACCCTGTTACAAAGCAGTTCAATGACAACAAAAAACAAAACAAATAATCAAAATTATGTGTGCAAACTGTCTAAGTGTTGTTACTTGCTAACATGCTGAATTTGTTGCTATGCTTGTCTTGACTCAAAATAATTTTAATTTTTTCATGTTCATTAGCAAACTTGGCATTAGATTATTGAAATGTGACTGAACTTGGGTCTAGACAGCCACCCTGGCATCTTGATTTGTTTTCTGAAAAGAATCACTGTTCTGACTTCAAACATATTACAATTAACTCAAGGTGAACCCAAGCACTGAAAAACAAATCCAAGGGTTGAATTATTAAGACAGTAAATCATCTCCCCATCACTCTCATTATGAAGAATTCATTTTCCAAATGCTAGTATACAAAGTCATGAAACATCCACCTTTTTTCCAAAAGCTCAGCTTATTAAAATAAAGTAAATGGCTTTCTGCTAGATTTTATGGAGACAATAATGATTCGACATGTAAGATATTTGATATTTTACAAAATGGATTTAGAGAAATTTAGTCCAGTGTAATTGACAGTTGGTTATTATGAAGATGTGCTAACTGAAATATTAATTTATAATTTAGTTGACTCAGCACATAGCAGCATGTTGTATTTTTTAGATTGGAAATTTTACAAATTAAAGGAGAATGCAAAATCAACAGTTTCCCTGCTCTAACCAAAGAACATAAGCTGTTCAACAAGAGTCGACAATACTTTTAGAGAGAGGCGACATGACCTGGATTGTGGATGTAATAAAGCTATTGGATTTGAACACAGCCAAAGAGATAACTTACTCAGAGCAACAGCCTTTTCCCTGTTTCACTATAATTTTTCTGAAACTCCTTTCAAAGTTTTAGAGTTGAAAACACATTGGAAGACCTCATCACACTAAGCAGAGAGTTGCCAGAAGGAGAATTCAGAAATTACTACCACTATCTCCAGAAAACTGAACTCAGCCTGTCACTACTGATCCAGAAAGACACCTCTGTGCCAGCAGCTTGTGTGTAAATGACTGGCTACAGTCCACTTTTTGGACAATCTGTGAATAACACTTTTTCTCAATTAATTGGCTAAAGTACTTTTAAAATGTCACTCTGTAGAACTTTCCTCTATAGTTCTTGACTTTGAGGTTGTGTGTGCGTGCGTGCGCGTGCGTGCGTGTGTGTGTGTGTTTTCAAGAAGGATACTTGTATATGTTTGCAAAATTTAAACCTTTTGCTCATAATCTTTATATCTGTGCTTAAGTTCTTTTTGCAACAAAGCAGTTGTCTAGTTGTTACTGAAGGAACCTGACTGACCTGTTTTTGATATTGAGCTGTATAGTCTGGTTCTTAATATAAAACGTACAATAACACATCCCTTTTTTAAATTTAAACTTCGCTGTGAGCAATGGAGTAGTGGGCTAAGCAAAGGAATCAGTACACCCTTCCTAACTCAGTTGTAGAAATTGGAAAATAAGCCACAAAACATACATACAATTGAGCCATTTCCACTGCAATTTATGAAGTTCCTGAAGTGAGCAAACTAGTCATATTTTCAGGATTTATCCAAAATAGTACACGTAAAAACAAGCATGATAAGTGTACTTACATCAATGTATGAAGCATTGATATAATCAGAGAACTCTTGTCCTCTTTTCCTGGGCAGAACAACTCTGTTGAAATCATCTTAAAAATACAAATAAATTACATTCAGCCTAATACCAATTGAGTTCATCCTATTCTCAGCTTGACAGAAATGCATGTCAAAACGAGACTATATTCCACCAGATAATGAACATCACGAGAACAGTCTTTGCTCTTTGGTCAACTTTAAGCAAGAACCTACCACTTTTAGAGGTCTGTGGCGAAGTCACTGAGTGTATTAAGACAGAGAAAAATTGGTTCTTGATTGGTAACGGGATTGAGGATAATGCGGAGAAGGCAGGGGAAAGGGTTAAGAAACGTATCAACCATATCGAATGACAGAGCTGACTCCATGGGCCGAATGGGCTGTTCCCATATCGTTTGGTTTTATGACACCACGCGCAAAATGGAATTTGTGCCGCTGATTCCCCATGCTAATATCAAAAGAGGGCCATCAGTTTAAATCTCAACTCCTATTAAAGTGTATAAATAATGCACTACTCCTCTGTGTATTTACCTACTTAAAAAGAAAATCAGTAGAAATTATTTTGAGCGAAGTTTTATAATTTTAAACCACATGCTCAAGGGACAATTTTACACAGATGACAACATAATGCTCGCCACCTCACCCACCTGCACCTGAACAATCCCTATGATCGTTCCCACAGTATTTAGCAGCATGGAAACATTTCACCACTTCTTTGAGCACTCAATCACATAATACATATTTGGAAGATAAATTTCAGAGTAAACTCAAACCACTATAAAAGGTCTGAAATTTAAGTAACCAGGGGCACCATTTGGTATTTTACTCCACATCTTGTTCATTTTCCTTGCCTCCCATGTGACAGAGCAGGCAGGACTTTTCTTCCAAAGTCTCAGACAATACCAACTTCTGATTCCCTCTGGATAAGCAATGCAAATGGCTTTAGTAGAATTCATTGATATTTTTTATTGTTTGTCTTCAGGAAAGAATATAGTTATGTAGTCATTGGCAACAATTAGGAAACAAGATGTCAATTTGTGAATGGAAACATGAGGTATCCAGGAAGAAAAATGGCCCCTATGTGACTTTTTCTGATGGATGGTGGAAATTATTTCAATATACAAGAGGATGGAATAAAAGAAAAGTTCACTTACAAGGAATGATCTGAAGAACTCTGGCTTTTTTCATATTTACTGGCTTATTTCCTGTTCTCATGTTCTCCTTCCTTATTCGGACAGTAGTTAATTTCTGCAGTAACAACATAGAAGGGAAATGGTCAAGCTGAAGTCAGAATCAAAATTATTAAACTTTTAATACTATAGTTTGGAAGTAATCAAAAAGCTAATGGAATGCTGGCATTTATATCTAGAGGACTGGAGAACAAGGATGCAGAAGTTACGCTGCAGCTATACAAAACCCTAGTTAATACAATGAGCAGATTTGGCACCATACCTTAGGAAGGAGGAGTACAGTGTAGATCTACAAGAATGATACATGGACTTTGGGGTTATGAGGAGAGATTATACAAATTCAGCCTAATTTCAAAGATTAGAATTTAGAAGATAAAGAGGTGATCTGATTAAAGTTTTCAAGATATCAGCAAAAAGAGACAGGATAGATAAAGATAAACTATTTCCATTTGTAGGAGATCACAGAACTAGAGGGTGTAGTCTGAGAATTAGGGCCAGACCATTTAGGAGAGATGTGAGCCACACTTCTACAAGCACACACAAAGGATTGTAGATGTTTGGAACTCTCTTCCACAAAAGGCAATGGATGCAGGATGAGTTGTTAATTTTAAGTTTTAGATAGATAAATTTTTGTTAAGCAAAGGGATTAAGGAATATGGGCTAAAGGCAGGTATATGGAATTAGGCCACAGATCAGCCATGACCTCACTGAATGGCAGATCAGGCTTGAGGGGCTGAATGGCCTATTCCTGTTCCTATGTTGCTACATCCTTGGGTCAGATAGACCTTCCCTATCCTTAAGTATCCTGAATTTAAGACTCATAATAAAAGCAAAGCATACAATGGCATTACTGTCCGAGAGGAGAGTTAGTCATCTATCCACTGGACTCTGTGTTCTAGAGTTGGCACACAACATTCTTAAAAAGAAACCTATATATTGCAGTGTATTCAAAAACAATATTTCAATTAATGTCAGATATCATAGATCAAAGAATTATTTTAGTAGTTCATGCAGTGTTAAATGGCAGGCCCTTCTCTGATTATTAAATTACTAACTCACATTAAACTCTTCTTCTAAGCCTGTGACATCAAACTGTCCTGCTTTACTGTGAAGCTTCTGTATATGCTTCTCCAAAGAGCTCACATCCAGCTCCGTGTCACCATATAAGTAATGTTCAAGCAGAGCTTGATAAATGAAGGAGTACTGCATCTGCAAGGAACAATAAAGTAAACAAAACTACATTAAAACCTGAATATGTGGCACAATTTTACAACATCATAAACTACTTGGATGTCTATTGGAACCAGAGGACAGTTCCTGAGGCGCCAAGATTGCTGTGTTCAGGCATCAGCTACGAGCAGAGTAATAAAAATATATTAAATAAACTGGGCCAAACAAAGGCCTGATGGAGAAAATTAGTATAGAATACAAAGAAAGGCTTTCTTTCTCCTATTCCTTTAAAGTGCTGGTACAATTTCAACCTAACAGGGAAAAGAGATAAAAATGGCTAATACTTACATCAGTTTGAACTAGCTGTGAACGCTGACCACGAATTCTTGACACAAAACCAAAGACATCCACTTTCTGCTCTGCATATATCATATCAATCATAGCATCGATAACTATGAATGTTCCTGTTCTGCCTACACCAGCACTGCAATGTAAAAAGGATTGTTAAATGTCTATGCTTTCACAGTTTTACAATTCATCTTGTGGCATTAGAAATAATATCTATTTTCACATCTCCCTTGTTTCAAATCTTTCATGTTCTAGCCACAATACTACAGCAATGGGTGGCGACAAGTTATATTCCATGTTTTTGGTCTTTCCAAGTTTTAGAAGGAGGCAGGTAGGGCCAAATCCCTATGAATCTTCATTTTTCTCTGAGAAATCTCCTGTGATGGTGAGCCTTTTCATGTCCCCGCAGGTGAAATTAGGAATTTATAAATATGGAATCTCAATTGTTTATTCAGGTTCCATTCCTATCTGGTCCAATGTACTGCCATACTCGTGCTACCAGGCCACAAGTTTATTTTATTTTCCAATAATGGACTTAATATTAGATTGAGCAAGCATTTCTGTGTGTTCTACTTCTGTGTGGTGCTAAAGTGTACAAGCAGGTACAAACTCATTGGAATTTTTAAGAATTTCAGAATTAAATATTTGCTTCATCAATGTAACTAAGTAATTAACAAGTTCCTTATGACTTTGAACTACCATGGTGTGAGTGATCCTTGCTAAATAGGTTCAGGACAGGCTAAAGCCCCTACACACCCAACCTGCTCCAATGCTGAAGCCCCAGTACGAGACCCTTATGCACACATATGGAGAAACACAAACAGTACTTTACATTACTGTGGAGTGCCTCCACTCCAGATATAGTGATGGACAAACCAACGTAAACTCTGCAGTTGGACAGGCGATGACTTGGCTCCACAATTTGTGCTTGCTAATTAACTAAATGAATAATAAATCAAAGTAACTTGCTTCACCTTTACCCTATTCCATGCACAATGACACTTTTTATTTGAATCAACTCAGCATATAGTAAGAAAATCTCCCCAGCACTAGAATAAAAAATGGAATTGCCACTCTCTGTCAAAGTTACAGATACTTCACAAACCTGAGCAGGATTTGCCTGTAATACACACTGATATCTTTCAGGGGCTTGTACCTATAGTAGCATCTATGTTATTGCCTGTTTGCTCTTTTGCTCAATTCCAGAACATTCCCCAGCCACTGAAAATGTTAAGATAGTTACACAAAAAATACTTTGTTTAAATTGGGATTAATTAAAAAAAATGATTGCACATCTTGGTGAGAATACTTTTATTTGTGATTATGGGACTCTACATTTCTTGCCTTGTGGATTGTACACATGGATAGGTGTTAACCATACCACGTGCAGAATGTGAAATTACAATCGTAGAAGTTCCACATTCTATCTACAGGATAATTTTGTTTGATCTACTCCATACAAAATTATGGAGATATATATCCTGCCTTTGTGGAGGATGATGTATCATAGGGTGCTGGCCAGTGCCTCAGGGACTGTTCATTTGAAACATTTTGTGTCAAATGTGCTTCTCTACGGCATGCATCAACTTTTTATTTTGCAAGATGAGGCAGAATAAGGCATTTCAAAGACTTTTACACAAACGTTAATTCCCAAAACAAGCTAAAAGTTTGATCAGACTAGAATTAGGAATGAATAGGATAACATCATTCAAAGAACCAAGGAAGTTCTACCGCATGAAGGCAATTGTCTATTTTAATCAGATATGATCTATGATATTAATATTCTCAGACTAGAAGTTGGATCAGCTAGTGACAATATTTGTAGCAGCTATAAAAGCTTATTTTCTGAGGATAAATTAATTGACTGACGCTCAGCTGATATTTTCTTTAGATATAAGCCACATCTTGGAGACATTTTCTCAAAACAAGCTTCTGAGATTCCCATGGCACAGGTGGCCTGACCTTTCACTGAAGATTGTTATCGTGTGGCTGGTAATAATGCAACATACATACTATTTTGACAGTAGCTTTGGCAAGAAAAAATTTCAAGGGAAATACACAATTGCCCAGGTTCCCCGAGTACAACAGTATAAAGAGCAATGCACATCTCCACAGTGAAAGCAATATTCCATTTCTGAAGGACATGTATGAGGAATAAAGAGATTAAGGAATTGTCTCCTGAAACAATTGGAAAGATTCTCGATTTGGATTAAAGCTAGTACATCCTTGTTTTATGGAAAGGGGAAAGAGCTGCCTATATGGGAGCTTGTAGCTGATGCGTTCTGCTTACAAATACAAGTAGTACTGCTACCAGTATTGATTTCCAAGAAAGAAACTTCATAATACATGAGAAGAACAGTTCACAGAATTAATACATGAGGTTGTGTAAAATAGAAGTTCAAATCCCAAGACAGGATTAGCAAAAGCATTGCAACCCAACATATACAAACTCTCCTTATGAAGGTAAAGATGAAAAGATATTCAGCAGTGGATTTTCCTTCAAGGCAATTGTGCAAAAGCTTGTATAGCTACTTCATAAACTTTAACAGAGCTGCTTTTAAAAGGAAACACCAAGGGTAGCTTTGAAATAAAATACCATAAATGATGAGTGAAAAATTGGCCTCATTAGCACCCAACATTTAGACACTATATAATGCAAAAATGAAAGGCAACAACAAAAAATAAAATCCAAACCCAAATTTATAATTGAAATCATACCATACTGCATACAAAGGTCAACTAATCAGCCTTGCGCATTTTCTTAGTGCTGGTCTTCTCTCTGTCTTTACTTCTCTTACCAACTGTACTAAGTTAACTAGGTTAACCAGCTCTCCTGCCAGCCTACTGGGAAGGAATTTAGATAATGATTGATTATGGAGTTGCAGATAGATAAACAGGTGCTGGAGTTACAAAGTTGTTACCACAACCAAAAGGCACATTTGTGATTTTTTTTTCCCTTCTGCATCTAATTTTGAAAGCTACCAGTGAAAATGGTGGAAAAATTACCTGGGAGTATTTCAGTCGTGGTCCCTGTTTTGCAGCTGTTCTGGGATTTTCCACTTAAATTGAAAGCAGCCATTTACTAGGTCCACACAAATACAAGTGAGGCATAAATGGATGATAATGGGATATCATGATACTGCCCAGCTTGACCACCATAGTAACATTTAACACAAAGGACACCATCATCTGACTGGAATTTGGAGTTATTTTGGTAGCGATAGGGTATTTCAAATTGCACTTCATCACTCTCCCCACCCACATTCCCTCCAACCACTACCCACCAAATCCTCCACCCTCAAATCTATGATCAATCACAGAGTGAACAACCACAGCCCTTTCAAATTTAAAGAATAAATAGCTGATCTGTTTATCTGCCTGGAAGCAGCTCTTAGCCCCAGTGTATTAGACTGTTGGAGAAGGTGGTTATGTTTGTACTAATGAGAAAATTACACTATTCTAGGATTGGACTAGCTGTATAAAACAACTTCCAATACTAGGGGACATGCATTTAAGGTGAGAGGGGGAAAGTTCAAGGAGATGTGACGGACAAGATTTTTTTAGACAGACAGTAGTAGGACTCTGGAACATGCTGCCACAGGTGGTGGTGGAGGCAGATATGATAGGGACCCATTCCTGTGTTGTATAGTTCTATGTTCTAACTGGTCTTTTGCCATCCTTTATGTCCTATTTATTCTATAATGCTAAGTCATATACATCTGACATCCTCAGCTTTAGTGTTAAGTTAGCTGATCTCAACGAGGGCATCTGTATTAGGTGCTATACCTGTCCTGAGTACCACAGGCTATGTTAGGCAAAAGGTCATTCAGAATACTAAACAAGGCGACTCTCTATTCTTAACTATGGCCTCATGTGGAGTAATCACTTGGAGGCTAAATACTGCCTGTTGAGAACAGGAGAGACATTAGAAAGACATTGCAGGAGGCCTGTCACCAGCTCTGCAAAGCCTTCTCTAAGAAAACACAAAAAAAGGTGTATCCCATTCAATCAGATCATGGTTGATCCTCTGAGGTGAACCTTACTCTTTTTGGCTGCGTCAGTTTTGTTGAGTTTCATAGAGGCTTCCTGCTGCAAGGCCGCCATTGTATCTTATATAATTCACTTCATGAACTACCTCCTTTATTCCTATGATGTTTTTCTCATTTGATTCTAGTCCCATTCGACCAATTGATATAACCAGTTTAACTCGCCAGTGCTGGGTTATTCTGGAATACTGTGGTTGCCTGCACATCTTTAAAAGGCTATCATGCACACAGTCAAGCATGGTCAGTCCAAAGTTGCTCTTCATGATTCCTGATATTGGCTTAGGACATAACAGACAAGAGGAAATTATCACCCCACCTTTATGGGCAGGAACCTGGAGATCCTGTTGGATGGGGTGGGTGCAGACACAGGACCAGTGGTGGGGGCCTTATACAACTGACCATACCAACCTGGGCCAAGGTTGCCACTTGGGTCAGTGCAGTCTCAACCATCTGGAGGAATGCCCAGCAATGTGAGAAGAAGGTTAGTGATCTCTCAACTCTGCCAGCATAAGTTCCATTATCTGGTCTCTGATACTTCAAACTCACTCTGACTCTGTTACTACACCCATGTTGTACCAAGGCGTTTGCTCTATTACTCTCATTGTTGCTTGCAACTACTTCCCTCACTCACCTTCACCTACCTCAACTCCCAAAAGCACCATTTCTATATGCCCTCAGTGATGCCAAATCATTCTCTCAGGACGTCTCTCCAGCTGTACCAAAAATAACAGCTCCGCCACCAACTTTAAACTCCTTTACTGCTTGCTTCTCTCTCATTCCAGAAAGAAAACAACTCACAAATAGGGCAGAAAGTGATAAGACATGTGGTGGGTTGCCTGACATTCGACTCCTTATCCCTAATGTGAAGGATCCTGACTCTGACAACCCCAGGCAGCTGACTGACCGTGTCCAAGCGCTTGGGCTGTTGTCAGGGCCTGCCTTTGACTTACTGTGCTGCCCCTTGACTGAAAGCTATCTCCCTTGCATTGACTGGGGACTGTGGACAACCATGACACGCTTCAGCTTTGTATTTGTGCTAAACTGCAGAGCAATGCAGCAGTACTGTGAGCCTCTGGGTAAGGTGGCAAAGTGCAAAAAGTCAAGGCAGGAATTCTGTGACTAAAAAGAATGGCTCAGAGTGAATGAGCACCAAGAGAACAAGTGAAGAGCCCAGAGACACAGATTGGTCTGACCTGTGTACTGGATGCATGTCCCTGAGCACAAAGTGTCCTTGCTGCAGCTTTACAATGATAATTGCTGGTGCAGGCAGAGGTGCAGCATTGAAATGAAGGAGCATTCTCTAAGTGGATTCGAGATGTCCCATGAGGGTTTATAGATGTTACACAAATCGGTGTCAGTACCCACGGACATGGTTTCAGCATAGCCAGTATCAATGGACCGGTGTCCCAATATATTGACACCTGGCTCCGACACAGAGGTCCTTTGGAGCAAGCAGCGAGCTGGAATTGCCAAGTACCCATTCTGACTTCCAGGTGGAGAATTCTTGGCATCTCGTTTTGCTCATTTCAGGTGTTGAGGCAAGATGTGTAGTCAATAAGGTTTGTAATAAGCAGTCGTCTTGCTTAATAAGCAATTCGCTTCTGCCTGCCTCACAAGAATTTCACCTTGATGCTAGAGCTCTGTTAAAAGATGCAGCAAGTTGCTGCCGACTTTGAAATATGCCTCACTGGATTTCTCACATGATTCTGCCATTTTTCTCACACAGTCTACAATATTCAGCCCCCTACAAGATTTTGCCTTCTGTCTCAGTGCCATACACCTGCTCTCCCACCATACTGCTTGACACCTTTGGTGTCTAGAAGTCTATCTATTTCTTCCTTAAACATATTCAGTAGTTGGCCTCCATATACTGTTGCTTTCAGAATTCTGCAGGTTCGCCTCTTTGAGTGAAAAAAATTTCTTTGGATCTTAGTCAAATGGCTCATCCCATGTCCTGAGACCAACCCCTTGTTCTGGAGCTCCCAGCTGCAAGAATCATCCCTGCATTTAGCCCTGTCAGAATTTTATATATTTTAATGAGGGATATTCTCACTCTTCTAAACCAGTGTGTACAGACTCAGGCCACCCAATCTCTCCTTTTATGTCAAATCTGCCATCCTATGAATCAGTTTAGTGAACCTTTGCTGTACTCCCTCTGTGATAAATATATCTTTTATCAACTAAGACCATTAAAACTGCCCACAATACTCCAGGTGTGAAAAGTGTGTAACATAAGTAGAATCCATAGAGAGAGAGAAACAAAACAAACGACCAAAGGGAAAAAATAAACCACCTGGAAGACAGCAGAGTTGCTAAATTATCAGTTCCACTTCATTAATACTTTCCTCTCACAACTTAGGAGATGTAAACAATTCAAACTGATAAAAGGTTTGTCTGCAAGTTATGCTATATGTATTAAATGGAAGAGAAATATCAATTTAGTAACAAGACTTCCGTTTTATAGAACAGCTAATTGTTTTCTAGAGTAAATTGGGCATAAGACAAATTTCAGAACATTCAATAGTTATTTCATACGGGAAAGTGTGACATTATGTGAAGTGAATATTGATTGAATTACACCTCTTAATAGTCTGTATGTTCTCTGTAATGTAACACACTCAACAGCTGCTGGGGTTTCCCATTTACCAGTTTGTGAGCATAACTTAAATTGTAGGCTCTTGGAAATCCCCAACAATTCTAGATCAAGATAACATATAATTTGGCACAAAGCAATTGTTATAGTTAGGCATCAATAGTACTTAAAGTTCTTTTATAACATATGTAGACAGTCATGCAGATTTTGGCAGAACCAACATGACTTTGTGTAGCTTGGAACTGTAATGCATATTAATAATGCTTCACTTGTTATGGCAGAAGGATGGAAACTTAACAATTACCTGCAATGAACCACAATAGGTCCTGAATAGGAAGGATTCACCATTTTAACCTTCTTCAGAAATTTAAGCATGCCAATGGGTGCAAATGGTACACCAAAATCAGGCCAGCTTGTGAAGTGAAGCTGTGTTATTAGTCTTGGAGATTTGTTGCCCACTCTTTGCTGTAAGAAATGCAATAAAAACACAACAATCGTTTCATAATTCTCATGCACTAAGAAAGGCACAAGTACACATAAATGTTTCCAGCAATTAATCAAAACCTGTCATTCTCTCCTTACCTAACATGAAATCAAAGAGACAGCATGAACCATATCTTTGTTACAGTCTAATTTAGTCAGAATTCATCATGGTTGGTGTGAAAAGTGCACTGGAAATTTTGTGCTTTCAAATGTAATAGTTACTAAAATTGGGACATATTCATTGTGTGCCCAAAATTAAATTTAATCTAACTTCAAATTTTATTTTTCAGGAAAAGTACCAATTCTATCTCACAAAGTCTTGATTAACTTCAATTTAATTTTTAAAAGGAAAAAGCAGATGTGACAAGCACATTGTTTTAAACATATAGGAATTGAATGGCATTTATAACTCAGTGGGGGAAATGTGATGAAGTGAATACATCTTGGAATGGGAAACATCTGGTGGATTTCAAGTTAGCCAAACTTACCAAAGATAGCAGCACATATCTTTTCGTTCATTTCAGGATTACAAAGGGAAATAATGTTGATTAGGGCTTACCAAATGCGACTCATATATCTTTTCATGATTTGCTAGCTTGCTGACACTTAGTGTGTGTCTCTCTTATAAAGAATGGCCATTTAATGTAGGCACACAAGAACTCTGAAAAGTACTTCATATGGTCTCTCAAACCAGCTCCACCATTAAATACAACCCTCTGTTTCAACTCCATTTTCCTACCCTCCATATTCATTCTTAATATTGTCAAGGATGATTACAATTTTCAAGGATTGACAACTCCAAAGAAATATAGAAACATTGAACATAGCAGCTGGAGAAGACCATTCAGCCCTTTGGCCCTGCTCCATTGTTTAAAATGATCATGGCCAATCATCCAACTCTGTACCCTATTCACGCTTACTCCTCATAGCCCTCGATTGCTCTCGCCCTGGAGTGGCAGATGGAGTTTAATTTGGATACATGCAATGAACTGCATTTTGGTACAAGAAACGAGGGCAAGACTTATACAATTAATGGTAGTGCCATGGGTAGTGTTGTAGAATGGACAGATCAAGGGATTCAGATATATATTTCTTTGAAAGTTGCATCACAGGTAGACAGGGTGGTTAAGGTGTTTAGCCTGCCTTCATTGCTCAGACTTTTGAGTAAAGGAGTTGGGTTGTCATGTTGAGGTTGTACAGGGTGTTGGTGAGGCCTCTTTCTGGAGTACTGTATGCAATTCTGGTCACCCTGCTATTGGGATGATATTATTAAATTGGAGAGGGTTCAGAAAAGATTTACCAGGATGTTGCCAGGACTGGAAGGTTTGAGTTATAAAAGTAGACTGGATTGGCCAGGACTTTTTTCACTGGAGCGTAGGAGGTTGAGGGGTGACCTTGTTGACATTTATAAAATCATGACGGACGTAGATAAGGTGAATAGCAAGGGTCTTTTTCCCAGGGTGGGGGGAGTTCAGAACTAGGGGACATACTGGTAATGGTGAGAGAAGAAGTTTTCAAAACGCCATGAAGGGCAACATTTTTACACAGAGAATGGTTTGTGTGTGGAATGAAATGCCAGATGAAGTTTTTTTTTCTTTATTCATTTACAGGATGAGGGTGTTGCTAGCTAGGCTACATTTATTGCCCATCCCTAATTGCCCAGAGGGCATTTAAGAGTCAACCACATTGCTGTGGGTCGGGTATCACATGTTGGCCAGACCAGGTAAGGGTGGCAGTTTCCTTTCATAAAGAGCATTAGTGAACCAGGTGGGTTTTTCCAACAATCTACAATGGATTCATGGTCATCATTAGATTCTTAATTCCAGATATTTATGGAATTCAAATTCCATCATCTGCTGTGGCGGGATTCGAATCCAGATCATGGGAACATTATCTGGGTCTCTGGATTAATAGTCCAGCGATAATACCACTGGGCCATCGCCTCCCCTCGATGGATGCAGGTACAGTTTATTTAAAAGACATTTGGATAAATACATGAATAGGAAAGACTTGGAGGGATATGGGCCAAAGACAGACAAATGGGTCCAGGTTAGTTTGGGAACATTGCTGGCATGGACTAATTGGTCCGAAGGGGCTGTTTCCATGGTGTATGACTCTACCTAACTTCTTCTCGGAGACATTTAACGTTTTGGCTTTAACCAGTTCTGTGGCAGAGCATTCTACAGGCTCACCACACTCTCAGTGACAATATTTCTCCCCATCACAAGATCAAAGATTCACAATTTTTGGAATGAATCATCACATTCCTAAATGATCAATCCCCAATCCTTATTCTCTGCCCCCATATTCTGGATTCCCCTGACAGGGGAACCAACCTGTCAGTATCTACCCTGTCCCTTTAGAATCTTGTATGTTTCAATAAAGTCACCTCCCACCTTCTAAACTCTAATGGGTATAGATCCAATTTACTCAGCCTTTCATACACAGATATTGATCTGATCCCAGGGACTGATCTAGTGTATTTCCATTTATCCCTACTGCATCCAATGCGAGCGTATCTTTCCTAAATATGAAAATCAAAACTGCCCATGGCATTCCAGGTGTGGTCTGACCAGAGCTCTTCACAATTGTAATAATACTTCTTTCTTTTTGTATTCTAATTCCCTTGCAATAAAGGTCAACATGCCATTTGCTTTCCTAATTGCTTCCTATACTTGAGTGCTACCTTTTGTTCTTTGTGTAAGTATATCCAGGTCTCCATGGAATTCATCATTTAGCTTTTCATGCCATCTAAAAAAAATTGTTTTTCTGTTCTTACTTCTAAAGTAAATAACGTCACTTTTCCCCAATATACTTCATCTGCCCCTTGGTCCAGGAACTCCCTACCTACGTCCGTGACACCACCCACGCCCTCCACCTCCTCCAAAACTTCCAATTCCTTGGTCCCCAACACTTCATCTTTACCATGGACGTCCAGTCCCTATACACCTGCATTCCCCATGCAGATGGCCTAAAGGCCCTCCGCTTCTTCCTGTCCCGCAGGCCCGACCAGTCTCCCTCCATTGACACCCTCATCCGCTTAGCCAAACTTGTCCTCACCCTCAACAACTTCTCTTTCAATTCCTCCCACTTCCTGCAGACAAACGGGGTGGCCATGGGTACCCGCATGAGTCCAAGCTATGCCTGCCTCTTTGTAGAACAATCCCTCTTCCGTAGCTACACTGGCCCTAAACCCCACCTCTTCCTCCGTTACAAATAGATGACTGTATCAGCGCCGCCTCGTGCTCCCACGAGGAGTTCAAACAGTTCATCCACTTCACCAACACCTTCCACCCCAACCTTAAGTTCACCTGGACCATCTCTGATACCTCTCTCTCCTCCCTGGAACTCTCTGTCTTCGTCTCTGGCATCCACCTGGAAACTGATATCCATTTCAAGCCTACTGACTCCCACAGCTACCTAGAATACACCTCCTCCCACCCACCTTCCTGCAAAAAGGCCATCCCCTATTCCCAATTCCTTCGCCTCCGCCACATCTGCTCCCAAGATGAGGCATTCCACTCCCGGACATCCCAGATGGCCTCGTTTTTCAAGGACCGCAACTTCCCCTCCACAGTGGTCGAAAATGCCCTCGACCGTGTCTCTCGCATTTCCCGCAACTCATCCCTCACACCCCCTATCCGCAATAACAACCAAAACAGAATCCCCGTCGTCCTCATGTACCACCCCACCAACCTCCGAATCCAACGCATCATCCGCCGACACTTCCGCCATCTGCAATCCGACCCCACTACCAAAGACATTTTTCCCTCCCCACCCTTATCTGCTTTCCGGACGGACCACTCTCTCCGTGACTCCCTTGTCCGCTCCACACTCCCCTCCAGCCCCACCACCCCCGGCACTTTTCCCTGCAACTGGACCAAGTGCTACACCTGCCCCTACACCTCCACCCTCACCCCCATCCCAGGCCTCAAGAAGACCTTCCACATCAAACAGATGTTCACCTGCACATCTGCTAATGTGATATACCATATCCGATGTTCCCGTTGTGGCCTCCTCTTCATCGGGGAAACCAGCGGAGGCTTGGGGACCGCTTTGTGGAACACCTATGCTCGGTTCGCAACAAACAACTGCACCTCCCAGTCGCGAACCATTTCAACTCTCCCTCCCTCTCCTTGGACAGCATGTCCATCCTGGGCCTCCTGCATTGCCACAATGATGCCACCCGAAGGCTGCAGGAACAGCATCTCATATTTCGCTTCGGAACCCTGCAGCCCAAGGGTATCAATGTGGATTTCACAAGCTTCAAAATCTCCCCTCCCCCGACTGCATCCCAAAACCAGCCCAGCTCGTCCCCGCCTCCCTAACCATTCCTCCCATCTCAAGCCCCACCCCCATCTCCTACCCACTAACGTCATCCCACCTTCTTGACCTGTCTGTCCACCCTGGACCGATCTATCCCCTCCCTAACACCCCACCTACATTCACCTTTACTGCCTCCAACCCTGCCTCTTTGACCTGTCTGTCTCCTCTCCACTTATCTTCTCCCTTATCCATCTTCTATCTGCCTCCCCTTCTCTCCCTATTTACTTCAGAATCCCCTTCCCCTCCCCCATTTCTGAAGAAGGGTCTTGACCCGAAACGTCAGCTTTCCTGCTCCTCTGATGCTGCTTGGCCTGCTGTGTTCATCCAGCTCTACACCTTGTTATCTACTTCATCTGCCACTTTGTTGTCCATTCATTTAACTTGCCATAGCTCTTTGTTGCCTCTTTGCATTCTCCTCATGGCTTATATTCCCACCTAGCTTTGAATTATCAGCAAATTTAGGTAGACAGATATCAAAAGTAATTTAAGTCATTAATCTAGATTGTAAATAGCTGAGGCCTCAGCACTGATCTTTGCAACATTCCAAAACCTATAGCCTGCCAAATTGAAAATGCTCCCTACTGTCTGTTTCCAGGCCTTTAACCAATTCTCTATCCATATTTGTAGGTTATCCTCAACTCCACGGATCCTCAACCTTCATATTAAACTTTTGCACAGCACCTTACCAAATGCCTTGTGCAGATTCAAGTGGGCTACATCTAGAGGCATTAGTGTAGACTGTTGTTGTCCACTGCCTATGCTCCAATAAAGTGGAAACCTTCAGTTAAGGGAGTTGACAAGACAGCATTTGGGAGGAATATAGGATATATTCTTACAGTTATATGACCATTATTTCAATGTTATTTTTAAATCTATTGTAGGCCAGGGGATACATTTGTTCGGACACTTTCGCATTCAGAACAAACCAGAAAAATGGAGCCCATGCAACTCAATTGATGGTAAAAGCTAGCTGATGTAAGGCAGGCCGTCTAACAATCCAAATTCCAATAGGCAAGCCCACTGTCCATAATGTTGAGTTAATTCTGTAATCAAACTCTTACAGGTCATGCAGATAGATGATGAGAAAATATGATCATGGAGGAATGGGGGAAGATGGGTCTTGTTGGAGGCTGATGCATATCATTTTTCAACAATGCAATGGCCATGAAAACAAATTGCAGTAAACATGCACTCCAGTTAAGTTAAAAAAGCTCTTTATAATCCTGTAATGCTGAGAATAAATGCGGTGAATGCAAATTGACAGCAAACACATTTTTCTACAGAAGTAAAATACCACTGAAACTGGAAATACGAACTAAAAGTAAAATAAAACTGAAATGCTGGAAATACTCAGCACAGCATTGTCTGTGAAAACAGAAACATTCTGGGTAATGATATTTTATCATCTGAGGAAAGATCATTGAACTGTAACATTAACTTTCTCTGTAGATGCTGTCGATATAACTAACAATTTCCAACATTTTCTGTTTATATAAGTGCTTTTATATTATACTTTACCATATTAATAAAGTAAATCTTATCTACAATGGTATATTCATTTAAGAACTAAAATTTATTTATTGGTCATTAAACAGCAAACTGAAATAAAAATGGTAATGATATCTGTCAGAGAAGAAACAACAGTTAGTTATTTTAAAAAGATAGCTGATAAAAATCCAAATTAATTGAGGCAATAATCAAACGATTTAAAACTGATTTTAATAATATGATTCATAAAAGAAAGGTGAATCCAGAAAATACTTGCATTCTGAATGGTGAACTTGCGAATGGTATAGTCCACAAGGACTGTGACATCTTCCACTGATACCCGGATTGCTCCATAGGTCCACAAACCTTGGTCAGGCCAGTACTTGTAACACTTTTCCTGAAGGATTAAGCACATACTTAATGATAATTGGTCCAATGAAAATAGACTTCATTTCAACAATGCTCCTATACACCACGGGAAAAGGACTCCTTGCAAATTTGTGATGGATATGGCCATCTGTAGAGAACCATTTATCTCCTTCCTCTGTGGACTATATTTCCTCTCCACAGCCTCAGCTCCATATCTCTTTCATGCTGGAAACCCTGGGCACTACAACAGCCACCCCCATACCTGTTAGCTAGTCCTCCCTGTGAAAAGGAGGTGATGATTGTCACCAGTTCCGGAATTTGATGCAACACAAATTCCGACAGGATTTCTACTTCTACAGAACTTGCAATAGCAGAAGGAAGTCAAAAGAACTTCACCTGCACATTTGTGGATTTGTCCTTTAAACAGCTGTTGGATGGGAGAAGAATTCTTTATGAATGTTTATCACAGACATGCACTGAACCTGTAAGTTTCCAAAACTTGAATCAGATCATCTTGAGTAACCGCCTCCTGTCACAATATGCACATTTTGAAAGTTTCAGTGCACATGTGGTACGCCCTTGTTGATGCCCTTCACAGCATGTGGTGCCATGCAGGGGACTCCAAAGTGGCTGGAGGTGCTGCACACGCTATTTTCTAATCTCAGGGTTTCCAATAGCAGCAGCACCAAGCTGTTTCTGTTCTGAAATCTTAACACTTTCTGCATCGTTTTCCTGCGTCACCAGTAGGTGGTGCTCAAATAGAATCGAATATTATATCAGATGTGTAATGCATTCACGTTGCTCTCAGTTTATGTTGAACCTTCAACCCTGGTGACATAAGGCTGCCTTTGCCTCCACCTCCCAGCTCTACCACCAGTGATAAAGCTGCAAGCTTCAAGTTATTGCTGTTGAACTTTTCCTCAGTTAAATTGTTTTATTTATTTATTTTTTTATTTGAAATGCAGAAGTTTAAATCTTAATTTTATACTTCTGGTATAAATATTGCAAAATCTCTTCCCCCACTTTGCTGCCACTTTAAAAACAAATCACTGCTTGCTCTTCAGCTTTTTGTCAATCTCTGTTGTTTAGCTTCAGGCTTCCCTCCCAAGTCTTTCACTGGCTACATTCTCCAAATATACATCTACTTTATAAAACTTTTGGCAGTTCTCTCAACTTTAGCTTCACTCCTCATGTATGTCTTTCCATTATTTAGCCTCTTCCTGGTCCTGAATCCAGATGCACAATTCCCAATCACTGCCGTAACAGCAGTGAGCACATTTCACAACGCCATTCTCTGGAAAAACAAACATGTGTACCAGAGCATCATTGTATTCCCAGTCAAAAACTTAGCCAGGAATTCCTTCTCTCCTGTCACTCCACAGCCCCACTCTTGGTTCAAGCCCAAGCCTCAATTTTACAGCGTGCACCTACTCTTGAATTATGCCCAAGTTTCTTGTTTAAATCCTGGTCTCACTCCAAATCCCAGTTTTCATTCCATATATTGTTCCTATCAGCTTGCTTCCTTTTCCAAGCCCCATCTGTTTTATACCACACCCATTTCCCCATAACCCCTTGACCCAGTGGGTAGAATTTAATGGCTCCCTCCGCCCGACGAGGTCGTTGGAAGCCGTTTGACTTAAAGGGACTGAGATTCAACATCTTTCTGACTGTCCTATCAAGCGCAGGGGTGGATGCCAATTGAGGTCCTTAAGTAGTCACCAGCATAGGACAAGAAACATGTCATCCAGGGAGACATCAATCAGGATTCCCTGGGGACCTACCTGGGATTGGGCCCAGCCCCTTGATGACAGGAATTCTGTGCCCACTTGAGGGACTGACATTAGGAAGTGGAAAACTCCTCTATTCTTGCCTCTGAGGTGATGATCACCTCCCTGCGATGTCCATTCCAGCTAGTGATCCATCAACAATTCCTCCTTCAGGCTTGAGTGGAAATATTGGCAAGGGCCACCCCTTCAAGTGGTGCTCTCAGTCAGAATGTGTGTCCCACTCGGGTTTAATTGAATGGGAGATCTAATATTCTCTAATGCTGCTTAGTTATGGTATTTGTGTCAAGTCGCCTTAATAGAAGCAACCCAAAACTTCCACAAGGTCTCTATGAGGGGCAAGATCGCTGAAACACTCATTAAATTCTACCTCGGCATTTACTGCATCCTCTGCTCTCCTCTGTCCCCACAAGTGTGAGTCTAAAACAAATGCAACATTCGCATTCTATTTTATAGCTTACTAAACATTACAGATGACCTTTTGTTTTATACTAAAATATGAGGCTATAGTATCAGTCCAGCTACTATTAGAAATAGATTCTGTTTTAAAAGCAGTTTGGATGAGCAGCAATAACTTACACTGTCCAAATTGCACTGCTCAAGCTGTGGAAATTGGATGTTAAATTTACAGAACCAAGAAAAACAAAGAGCAGACTGACAGATTGATTCTGATCATGTGGTACGACTGTTGTTACACTGACACCATGTTTGTTCTCAGAATTTACATCTTCATTCTCAGCAGGTTGTGAAGTGCGCTGTTGTTTGGTAGCCCATGGTTTGTCTGTCTCAGAACCTGGACCAACGTCCAGTCGGTGCACTTTGAGAATAATGCTCCTGGTTGGTGTACCAGTGCCCCTGCCACCTACGGGGTGCAGTGGAATCTGGTCATCACCAATGATTAGCCGGTTTGAACATAGAACATAGAACATCGAACATAGAACATAGAACATAGAACATAGAACATTACAGTGCAGTACAGGCCCTTCGGCCCTCGATGTTGCGCCGACCTGTGAAACCAATCTGAAGCCCATCTAACCTAAACTATTCCATTATCATCCATGTGTTTATCCAATGACCATTTAAATGCCCTTAAAGTTGGCGAGCCTACTATTTTTGCAGGCAGGGCATTCCACGCCCTTACTACTCTCTGAGTAAAGAACCTACCTCTGACATCTGTCCTATATCTATCACCCCTCAATTTAAAGCTATGTCCCCTCATGCTAGCCATCACCATCCGAGGAAAAAGGCTCCCACTGTCCACCCTATCTAATCCTCTGATCATCTTGTATGTCTCTATCAAGTCACCTCTTAACCTTCTTCTCTCTAACAAAAACAGCCTCAAGACCCTCAGCCTTTCCTCATAAGACCTTCCCTCCATACCAGGCAACATCCTGGTAAATCTCCTCTGCACCCTTTCCAATGCTTCCACATTCTTCCTATAATGCGGTGACCAGAACTGTACGCAATACTCCAAGTGCGGCCGCACCAGAGTTTTGTACAGCTGCAACATGACCTCATGGCTCCGAAACTCAATCCCTCTACCAATAAAACCTAACATACTGTATGCCTTCTTAACAACGCTATCAACCTGGGTGGCAACTTTCAGTGATCTATGCACATGGACACCTAGATCTTTCTGCTCATCCACACTACCAAGAATCTTACCATTAGCCCAGTACTCTGTATTCCTGTTACTCCTTCCAAAGTGAATCACCTCACACTTTTCCGCATTAAACTCCATTTGCCACCTCTCAGCCCAGCTCTGCAGCTTATCTATGTCCCTCTGTAACCTGCAACATCCTTCCGCACTATCCACAACTCCACCGACTTTGGTGTCATCCGCAAATTTACCAACCCATCCTTCTACGCCCTCATCCAGGTCATTTATAAAAATGACAAACAGCAGTGGCCCCAGAACAGATCCTTGAGGTACACCACTAGTAACTGAACTCCAGGATTTCCCATCAACCACCACCCTCTGTCTTCTTACAGCTAGCCAACTTCTGATCCAAACCGCTAAATCACCCTCAATCCCATGCCTCCGTATTTTCTGCAATAGCCTACCATGGGGAACCTTATCAAACGCTTTACTGAAATCCAAATACACCACATCAACCGCTTTACCCTCATCCACCTGTTTGGTCACCTTCTCGAAGAACTCAATAAGGTTTGTGAGGCACGACCTACCCTTCACAAAACCGTGTTGACTATCCCTAATCAAATTATTCCTTTCTAGATGATTATAAATCCTATCTCTTATAATCCTTTCCAACACTTTACCCACAACCGAAGTAAGGCTCACTGGTCTATAATTACCAGGGTTGTCTCTACTCCCCTTCTTGAACAAGGGGACAACATTTGCTAGTCTCCAGTCTTCTGGCACTATTCCTGAAGACAATGACGACATAAAGATCAAGGCCAAAGGCTCTGCACTCTCCTCTCTAGCTTCCCAGAGAATCCTAGGATAAATCCCATCCGGCCCAGGGGACTTATCTATTTTCACACCTTCCAGAATTGCTAACACCTCCTCCTTATGAACCTCAATCCCGTCTAGTCTAATAGACTGTATCTCAGTATTCTCCTCGACTACATTGTCTTTTTCCTGTGTGAATACTGACGAAAAATATTCATTTAGCACCTCTCCTATCTCTTCGGACTCCACGCACAACTTCCCACTACTGTCCTTGACCTGCCCCAATTTTACTCTAGTCATTCTTTTATTCCTGACATACCTATAGAAAACTTTAGGGTTTTCCTTGATCCTACCTGCTAAAGACTTCTCATGTCCCCTCCTGGCTCTGCTTAGCTCTCTCTTTAGGTCCTTCCTGGCTAACTTGTAACTCTCAAGCGCGCTAACTGAGCCTTCACGCCTCATCTCTACATAAGCCTCTTTCTTCCTCTTGACAAGAGATTCAACTTCTTTGGTAAACCACGGTTCCCTCGCTCGACCACTTCCTCCCTGCCTGACAGGTACATACTTCTCAAGGACACGCAGTAGCTGTTCCTTGAACAAGCTCCACACTTCAATTGTGCCCAGCCCCTGCTGTTTCCTTCTCCATCCTATGCATCCTAAATCTTGCCTCATCGCCTCATAATTGCCTTTCCCCCAGCTATAACTCTTGCCCTGCGGTATATACCGATCCCTTTCCATCGCTAAAGTAAACGTAACCGAATTGTGGTCACTATCACCAAAGTGCTCACCTACCTCCAAATCTAACACCTGGCCTGGTTCATTACCCAGTACCAAATCCAATGTGGCCTTGTCTCTTGTTGGCCTATCTACATACTGTGTCAGGAAACCCTCCTGCACACATTGGACAAAAACTGACCCATCTGAAGTACTCGAACTATAGCGTTTCCAGTCAATATTTGGAAAGTTAAAATCCCCCATAACAACCACCCTGTTACTTTCACTCCTATCCAGAATCATCTTTGCAATCTTTTCCTCTACATCTCTGGAACTTTTCGGAGGCCTATAGAAAACTCCCAACAGGGTGACCTCTCCTTTCCTGGTTCTAACCTCAGCCCATACTACCTCAGTAGATGAGTTGTCATCAAACGTCCTTTCTGCCACCGTAATACTGTCCTTGACTAACAATGCCACACCTCCCCCTCTTTTACCACCTTCCCTGATCTTACTGAAACATCTAAACCCCGGAACCTGCAACAACCATTCCTGTCCCTGCTCTATCCATGTCTCCGAAATGGCCACAACATCGAAGCCCCAGGTACCAACCCATGCTGCAAGTTCACCCACTTTATTCCGGATGCTCCTGGCATTGAAGTAGACACACTTCAAATCACCTTCCTGCCTGCCGGTACACTCCTGTGACCTTGAAACCTTATTTATGACCTCACTACTCTCAACCTCCTGTACACTGGAGCTACAATTCAGGTTCCCATCCCCCTGTTGAATTAGTTTAAACCCTCCCAAAGAGCATTAGCAAATTTCCCCCCCAGGATATTGGTACCCCTCTGGTTCAGGTGTAGACCATCCCGTTTGTAGAGGTCCCACCTACCCCAGAATGAGCCCCAATTATCCAGGTATCTGAATCCCTCCCTCCTGCACCATCCCTGCTCTCTCTCCCTATTCCTCGCCTCGCTAGCACGTGGCACGGGTAACAAACCAGAGATAACAACTCTGTTTGTTCGAGCTCTAAGGTTCTACCCTAGCTCCTTGAATTTCTGCCTTACGTCCCCATCCCTTTTCCTACCTGTGTCGTTGGTGCCTATGTGGACCACGACTTGGGGCTGCACCCCTCCCCCTTAAGGATCCCGAAAACACGATCTGAGACATCACGGACCCTGGCACCTGGGAGGCAACACACCAACCGCGAGTCTCTCTCGTTCCCACAGAATCTCCTATCTGTACGCCTAACTATGGAGTCCCCAATGACTAATGCTCTCCTCCTCTCCCCCCTTCCCTTCTGAGCAACAGGGACAGACTCTGTGCCAGAGACCTGTACCCAATGGCTTACCCCTGGTAAGTCGTCCCCCCCAACAGTATCCAAAACGGTATACTTGTTTTTGAGGGGAATGGCCACAGGGGATCCCTGCACTGTCTGCCTGTTCCCTTTCCATCCCTTGACTGTAACCCATCTACTTTTTTACTTGTTTGACTCTTTGATGATCGTATTAATGGGCTGGGGGAAATCAGAAGGTGAATTTCAAATCATTCATCATCAAACCCAAACAGTCTAGTGCACATCATTTGGATGCAATGTGGGAAATATTGAAGCACTGTATTCTATGTGAAAATGTTTTGACACTAAGAGGTTATGTTTCTGATTGGTCACAGTACAGGGTTGGCTGTTTGACAATTTTTATGCACAGTAATGTGACTGGCAACCCCAATGTTCCATCTCGTCTCTTTTCCAAGCAGAGGCAGACCCTGTTATGGATGCTTTCTGCCTATGAGGTTTGTGCTCTGCAGACAGTTCCCATCTCCTGGCAGAGCTCAGCATCATAAGCGGGCACTATGGTCATTGATAGAACTCTTAGAGCATTGATATTTGAAGAGTGTGTCGCACGAACCATGTAGACGTGGCACAGCGTCAGGACCTGGAAGTTATTTGAGCCCCAGTTATTGGATCCCGAGCCCCAGATGAACATCAAACCTCTGGTTCAGTTTTGGAAGGTGCTTGTAGACCCCAATTCCCTTGCAAAAGAAAGAGCTGTTTGACATTTTTACTCATTTCATAAAGATAGCTTCAAAAGTCCTTTTTTACGTGTTTTGTTTTAATTCTTAAGCAAAGATATCCACATGATTTTATATTTCTTATGATGTACTTGTTCTTAGACAGAATACTGATGTCTCACAAAAAGAAAAAATTCAGACAATAAGGCTAACGGGAAATTTCGTAATTTTAGAGTAAATCAGTAAAGTCTGATCATTCTTAGTTAAGAAAGTAACTCATCTACGAAAACATTAAATGAATAATCTATATCTTAACCTATAGTATATATTCCTCACATCAAAAGATATTTATATTAGGCATCATCTGTTACAGCTTTGATGATCATCTAATCTTTGTAAATTCATATACTCACCTCCTTCTTCTCTTTTACATTTGTTAACATAACAATAGTAGCAGATTTCTGTTCCCATATCATTCGCCAGAAATCTGAAACAGTCTCTTCTTTGGGGCCTTGGGAATAGAGATACAACTGCTTAAGAAATAATTTTGAATAAAAGATACATGAACAAAACTTCAATGCTTGCATGGTATTATTTTTACATTATTTTCATTTTTGAAACGAGACGAAAGCAAACTATATTTCTCCCAGATAAATTTGCATGCAGATTTATTTGACAAAAGAATTTGCACAGAAGTCTTAGCGTTTGTGACGGTGTTATATTTAAGATCATTATTTGATTTTTTTTCTTGAACTGTGCCTGTGCTACATTTTACTGCGTGTGGAGTGAACTTCCTGAGGAAGTGGTGGATGTGGGTACAATTACAATGTTTAAAAGACATTTGAATAAGTACATAAATAGGAAAGGTTTGGAGTGATATGGAGCAGGAGCAGGCATGTGGTATGTTGAATTTTGCAGGGTGAAGTCCTAAACCTAGTGTTTTATCAGTCTCATTTTAAAGTGAATAGTGCTCTCACCATGCCACTAGAAAACAGCTCCTGGCACATTTTGACTAAGAAATCGTGGGTTCAAACATGGGCTGATAGGACTGATTATCTAAAACCAGAAAGAACTGTGGATGCTGTAATTAGAAATAAAAATAGAGTTATGCATATATGTCGGTTTATTCTGCATATAAACTGATGTTTTCCTGGCTACCATCAGTTCTGAGGAAGGGTCACTTGGTTCAAAATGTTAACTCTGATTTCTCTCTACAGATGTTGCCAGACCTGCTGAATTTTTCCAGGTCTGATTATCTCCCCAGAATAGGGCAAGAAAGCAAGATCTCACTAGGATCAAGGTGATTCAATCCTGGCAAACAGGCAAATTCTGGCAACAATTTTGAGTGGTTAACCTGCAGTCATTCTGCAGTGCACACTTTGGAAATCCCAAAATGTTGTACTTTATTTGCATCTACATAGAAATTTAGCGTCTGTGAGAATAGGGAAGAATGTGTGTATGCCTAACTGGCAAAAAGAAACACTACTGGTGAATATACATATCTTAATAACTTCAATTAGAGACACTTAAATATGCTTGAATGTTCCTGCCATCATAGATATCTAGCTGACTAAATTTTTACAATGTCAATGCTGAAAATAATGAGTCCTGAACCTTGCTTAGGCTACTACAAGCCTGTACTGCCTGCCAATGCTACAAGTTAATTTTTAAAATCACCCTGCTTTGAATCATTTGTATTTATAAATATAGCATTTCTGTCTTTATTTGGATTCAAAATCTATATTTATACCACTGTTTTTTTTTCTTTTGTATGAAGACAAGTAGAGAAAGGCCTTAGGGCCCATCCTATGTTTCTCCAACAATGTGAATGATTATTAACCCACATTTGCACATCAAACCACATCCACTTGTGAAATTGGCATTGAGAAGAAGTTAGAGATATAATACTGATTCTGAGCGAAAGGAAGAGATTTCTGTATGAATTATCGTCTGCATTGTGTTTATCTTGTCAAGTTACTAAAAGCAATGTTTGCAAATCATCTACTGTTTATTACTCTCAAATTACAGCTTCACTCAATGAACAATACAAAGAAGGAAGGGCAGGTGATATAACAGTTGCCTACCTTGAGCTGCTATGAACTTATTCTTCACTTTATAACCCTGCAGGGAAAATAAATCAGTCTTGGTGATCAAGTTACTGTAGCTTGCCATACAAACACATCTTGTTATTTTTCTTTATCTTTTGCACAGCAAGTTTATTTTTGCCAATATGTTGATTAAATATAAGCACATTGCAAATGGCTCAAGTAAAAGAATAAACACCTACATCAACATATGAAGCATTAATGTAATCCGAGCCTGGTACCCCATCGACAGTTGTCAAAATCACTCTGTAATTGTCATCTGGAAGAAAGTTTACAAGTCAAGAAAATTTTATATTATTCTGGCAAAAAGAATGAATTTGCTTTGTTATAATTTAACAAAAATAATCAAACACTTTGATATAAGTCTGACTCTGCAAAATGCAATAACATACAGGACATCAGACTCCACATCTACAACAACCATATGTTCTGCAGGCAGAAAGGGAATGGGAGACCACCAGACAGAGCGAGAGTGATAGGCAGGTAGTGCAGGAGTCTCCTGTGGCCATTCCCCTGCAAAACAGATATACTGTTTTGGACACTGTTGAGGGGAATGACCTCTCGGGGAAAGCAACAGCAGCCAAACTCATTGCACCACAGTTAGTTCTGCTGCAGAGGGGAGGGGTAAAAAGTGTGCCAGGGCAATAGTCATGGGGACTCAATTGTAAGGGGAATAGACCGGTGTTTCTGTGGCTGCAAACGAGACTCCAGGATGGAATGTTGCCTCCCTGGTGCTAGGGTCAAGGATGTTTCAGAGCAGGTAGAGGACATTCTAAAGGGGGAGGGTGAACACCCATTGGTGGTGCTACACATCAATACAAATGACATAGGTTTTAAAAAAAGGGATGAGATCCTAAAGGCAGAATGCAGGGAGCTAGGAAGAGAGTTAAGAACTCGGGCCTCAAAGGTAGCGATCTCAGGATTACTACCAGTGCCACATACTAGTCAGAGCAGAAATGACAGGATATACCGGATGAATATGTAGTTGCAAAGATGGTGTCAGGGGGAGGGTTTCAGGTTCCTGGGGCATTGGGACTGGTTCGGGGGGAGGTGGACCTGTACAAATTGGACGGGTTACACCTGGGCAGGACTGGGACTGATGTCCCAAGGGGAGTGCTTGCTAGAGCGGCTAGGGAGGGTTTAAGTTAATATGCCAGGGGGATGGGAGCCTATGTAAAGAGTCAGAGAAGAAGGCAGCAAGGACAAAAACTAAAGCTAGAAAAGGGAACAAGAAAAATATTAGGCTGAAAAACCAAGGACAAGATTCAAACAGGGCTATTGAGAAAAATGAAGAAGAGACAAATACTGTTCAAAGGACAAGCTTAAAGTCTTTGTGCTTTAATGCGCGGAGCATCTGCAATAAAGTGGATGAACTAATTGTGCAGATAGATGTAAACGGGTACGATATAATTGGGATTACGGAGATATGGCTGCAGGGTGACCAGGGATGGGAACTGAATGTCCCAGAGTATTCAATATTTAGGAGGGACAGGCAAAAAGGAAAAGGTGACAGAGCGGCATTGCTGGTTAAAGAGGAAATTAACACAATAATGAGAAACGATATTAGCTTTGACAATGTGGAGTCAGTATGGGAACAGTTCAGAAATACCAAGGGTCAAAAAAACATTAGTGGGTGTCATATACAGACCCCCACACTGCAGTGGTGATGTTGAGAATGGCATTAAACAGGAAATTAGACATGCATGTGATAAAGGAACATCTGTGATCATGGGTGATTTTAATCTGCACATGAATTGGGCAAATCAAATTAGCCACAATGCTGTAGAGAAGGTATTCCTGCAGTGTATCCAGGATGGTTTTCTTGACCAATATGTGGAGGAACGAACTAGAGAGCAGGCCATCTTAGACTGGGTACTGTGTAATGAGAAGGGAATCATTGCCAATCTAGCTGTGCAAAACCCATTAGGGAACAGCGACTATAACATGATAGAAATTTTTATCAAGATGGTGAGTGAGGTTGTTGATTCAGAGACTAGAGTGCTGAAATGTAATAAAGGAAACTACAAGGATATGAGGCATGAGTTGGCCTTAATAGATTAGGGAGAGTTACTTAAAGAGATGACAGTGCGTAGGCAATGGCTAATGTTCAAGGAATGCATGGGGGAACTGCAACAACTATTTATTCCTGTCTGTCGAAAAAGCAAAATGGGATAAGAGGGCCAATCCATGACATACAAAGGAAATAACAGATAGTATCCGATCCAAGGAAGAAGCATACAGATTGGCCAAGAAGAATAATAAACCTGAGGATTGGGAGCAGTTTAAAATTCAGCAAAGAAGGATCAAGGGATTGATTAAGGAGGGGAAAACAGAATATGAAAGTAAGCTTGCAGGGAACATGAAGACTGACGCTAAGTGTTTCTATAAAAACGTGAAGAGAAAGAGATCAATAAAGACAAACGTAGTACCCCTGCAGTCAGGTAGAATATATATTAGGGGACAAAGAAATGGCTGAGGAACTGAATAGATACTTTGGTTCTGTCTTTACAAAAGAAGACAGAAATCAGATACCAGAATTGTTGGAGGATGCAAGATTTAGTGAGAGGGAAGAACTGAGGGAGATCAATATTAGTAAAGAAATGATGCTGGGAAAATTGTTGGGATTGAAAGCTGATAAATCCCCAGGGCCTGATAATCTACATCCCAGAGTACTTGAGGAAGTTGCTCTAGAAATAGTAGATGCATTGGTGATCATCTTCCAGGATTTCATAGACTTTGGAACAGTCCCTGCAGTTTGGAGGGTGGCTAATGTCATTCCAATATTCAAAAGGGGAAGTAGAGAGAAAACAGGGAATTATAGACCAGTGAGCCTAATATCGGCAGTGGGGAAAATTCTCAAATCCATTGGCAAAGGATTTTATAACAGAGCATTTAGAAAGCAGTGGTAGGATCAGACAGAGTCAGCATGGATTTATGAAGGGGAAATCACGCTTGACAAATCTGTTAGAATTCAATGAAGATGTAGAGTTGACAAGGTGGAACCAGTCGATGCAGTATATTTGGACTTTCAGAAAGCATTTGACAAAGTTCCACGTAAGAGATTATTGTGCAAGATTAAAGCGCATGGGACCGGGGGAAGTGTATTGAGATGGATAGAAAACTGTTTGGCAGAGAGGAAACAAAGAGTAGGAATTAATGGGTCCTTTTCAAATGGCAGACAGCAACTAGTGGGATGCCACAGGCATCGGTGCTGGGACCCCAGCTATTTACAATGTATATCAATGATTTGGATGGGGGAACAAAATGTAACACCTCAAAGTTTGCAGATGATACCAAGTTGGGTGGGAGGGTGAACTGTGACAAGGATGCAGAGATCCTTCAGCATGATCTTGACAGGTTGGGTAAGTGGCCAAATTGATGGCAGATGCAGGATAATTTGGATAAACGTGAGGTTATTCACTTCAGAGGCAAAAACAAGAAGGCAGATTACTACCTGAATGGCTGTAAATTGGGAGAGGGGAGTGTGCAGCAGGACCTGGGTCTCCTTGTGCACCAGTTGCTGTAGGTAAGCATGCAGATGCAGCAGGTGGTAAAGAAGGTAAATGGTATGTTAGCCTTCATTGCGAGAGGTTTTGAGTACAGGAGCAGCAATGTTATGTTGCAGTTATACGGGGACTTGGTGAGACCACACCTGGAATAGTGTGTGCAGTTTGGTCTCCTTTTCTGAGCAAGGATGCTCTTGCTCTCGAGGGAGTGCAGTGCAGGTTTACCAGGCTGATTCCGGGGATGGCGGGTCTGACATAGGAGGAGAGATTGACTAAGTCAGGATTGTTTTCGCTCGAGTTCAGATGAATGAGGGGGGCGGATTTCACAGAGACTTATCAAATTCTAACAGGACTGGACAAGATAGATGCAGGAAGGATGTTCTCGATGATGGATGTGTCCAGAACCAGGGAGCCTGTGGAATTCATTACCACAGGAAGTAGTTGATGCCAAAACATTGAATGTATTCAAGAGGCGACGAGATATAGCACTTGGGGCGAATGGGATCAAAGGTTATGGGGAGAAAGCAGGATTAGGCTATTGAGTTGGATGATCAGCCATGATCGTGAAGAATGGCGGAGCAGGCTTTAAGGGCCAAATGGCCTCCTCCTGCTCCTATCTTCTATGTTTCTATGTTTCTGCAGTACATACTTTTCTCTCCAACTGTCTAATTAGCTGAAACCTTAGCAGGAGGTAGATCCAGCATAAAGATGTTTTAAAATTCTTTAATGGGAAGTGGACATTGCTGGCAAGGCCAGCACACATTGCCCATCTTTAATTGCTCTTGAGAAGATGGTTGAGAGCCACGTTCATGAACTACTGCAGTCCATCTGGTGTAGATGCACACATAGCTGTTAGGAAAGGACTTCAAGGATTTTGATTTTATGACAGGGAAAGAATGGGGACATGGCTCCAAGTCAGGATGCTGTGTTATGTGGAAGTAAACTTGCAGGTGATATCTCCAGTCTCGAGCTATGTAGTGAAACCAAGATAATATAGGCTGAAAGGAAATCAATACACAGCTGTCCAAAGAAATGCAGCAATATTAACAATCTGATATTAAGCCCTGTCTACATTAAACTGGCTAAAATTATTCAAGCTTTTAAACAATGTCCTCGTTAAAAAAAATTTGTAACTTTTAAATTATATCTAATGCTCATTACTGCAATTTCACATTAAACATACATGTAAATTATTCTAGCACAAGCATATCATAACCAGCTATTTCTGCTTGTACCTTAAAATGATTACATCAAAAGACCATAGACCACAAGATATAGGAGCGGAACTAGGCAATTCAGCTCATTGAGTCTGCTCTGCCATTCAATCATGGCTAATATATTTCTGGATCCCATTTTCTTGCTCTCTCCCTGTAACCCTTGATCTCCTTGATAATCAAGAACTCATCTATCTCGGTCTTAAATACACTCAATGACCTGTTCTCCATATCGTCATCTCCTCTAAAGGTCGTCTCTTCACACTGAGGCTGTTCCCTCGGATCCTCGTGTCTCCCACTAGTGGAAACTACTTCTCCATGTCCACTCTATCCAGGCCTCTCAATATTCTATAAGTTTCAATCAGATCCCCCTTTATCCTTCTAAACACCATTGGGTACAGACCCAAAGTCCTCAACTGCTTCTTATATGACAAGTCCTTCACCGGGATCATTCTTGTAAAGCTCCTCTGGATTCCATCCAATGCCAGCACATCCATCCTTAGATACGAGGTCTAAATCTGCTCACGACATTATGAATGCAGTCTGACCAGAGCCTTATACAGCCTCAGCAGTACATCTCTGCTCTTGTATTCTAGCCCTCTTGAAATGAATGCTAACATTGCATTTGCCTTCCTAACTGCCAAACTGAACCTGCATGTTAACCTTAAGAGAATCCTGAACCAGGACTTCCAAGTTGCTTTGTGCTTTAGATTTCTGAAAGCTTCCCCAATTAGAAAGTAGTCTGAGCCTCTAATTTTCCTACCAAAGTACATAATTTCACACTTTTCCACATTGTATTTCATCTGCTTCTTCTTTGCCCACTCTCCTAGCCCATCCAAGTCCTTCTGCAGCCTCTCCAATTACTCAAAACTACTGTCTCTCCACCTATCTTTCTGTCATCTAAAATCTAGCAACAAGCTCTCAGTTCTTTTGTCCAGATCATTAATGTATAACGTGAATAATTGTCCACATTGTGGAACTCCACTAGTCACCAGCTGCCATCCTGGAAAAGACCCCATTTATCCCTACACTCTGCCTTCTGCCTGTCAGGCAATCCTCTATCCATGCCAGTACCTTGCCCCTAATTTAAAAACATATCAGCATTAATGCCGTCCATATGGCGCAATAGATTCTATTCCTTCAAAATACAAGTTGCAAATAAATAATACAGGATGTGAAAAGGCACAGAATTTTACCCGAGGAAATGGAGATCTGTGAGAATAACTAAAAAGATGTCATTACCCGGCAAGATGTTGGGATAACGATTTTTGTCCTTGTTCTCCTCTCTATTTGCTGATTCGCAGCATCCTAATGTTCCAATTGGCAGAGACTGCATATGGAAAACCAGGCAAAGATTACTGGAATGGTGCAGTGAATCTGCTGAGTATTACTAAAAATTAGTGGTGAAGCAAGAAGCCACATCCAATTTTATTGCTGCAAAATACTCAAGTACTATTCTCTCTGTACATTCAGTTCTGAACCAAAATTGATGAAGTTAGCCAAAATATTTAACAATAGCTAAAATAACCAAATGTCAACGTGTGAGGGTTGTATTGTGACATAGTTCATCCTATGATGATCCCAGCCAAAATCCTTTGGAACCAGATCACTTTCAAGGAAAAGAGGGATTAGTACAGTGCACTAAAGTTTTAGGGAGCCAAGATCAATCTAACCTCCCTATAGTGGCTGACACTGTAAATTTTATCTGTGATCGCTCCTTGGGATGCTTTGCAAATTTTTAACAACAAATAATCTCCCTTTTCTTAGAGACATTAATGGCATTTCAATTGCCTGGAGACCTTAAAATCATCACTTTTTTCCACTCACCTCAAGCCAAACATCGAATTTCTGGCAGGTCTCACGGTTGTCAGCCATGTTATGGCCAACTAACATAACCCAAGATCCAACATCACGTGTTCTAAGTGGTAAATGTTCCACATGTATTTCAGTCACAATGTTTTTAGATGTCGGCCAGGGGAATCATAGAATCCTTACAGCGTGGAGGCGGCCCATTCAGCCCATCCTGTCCACACTGACGCTCCGAAGAGCATCCCACCCAGACCCACCCCTGCATTTCCCACCCTAGACATTATGGGCAATTTAACATAGCCAATCCACCTCACCTGCACATCTCCAGACTGTGGGAGGAAACCAGAGCACCCACAGAAAAACCACGCAGACCCGGGGAGAATGTGCAAACTCCACACAGACAGTCGCCCAAGGCTGAATTGAATCCGGGTCCCTGACGCTGTGAGGCAGCAGTGCTAACCACTGAGCCACCATGCCACCCCAGATGAATATTACGAGAAATTGCCTCAAAAGGAACTATAAGGTACTTTATATTTTCTCTTAAATTCCTCTTATTTAATGCAATTCAGTAGCAGCTCAAGAATGCTCGTGTCTCAAACACTAAACCGAGAAATAGGTCACAGAAACCCATCATATTGTGCTTCGCCCATTTTATATTTGTGTTGCTGTGGTTTTCCAGGCTGCCACAAATGGATTGACCTGGGCACAAACTTCAATAGGCACATGGTCAGGGTATGCATGATACGAGAGAGGAGGACTGGTCCCAAGCCTCTCATTTCCTTTGTTAAAGTCACATATTTCGAATGATTTCCTTAAAAAGCTGGCAACATTATTCCCTGGAATCTTGTTGGGTCAGTGGGCAGAAGTCCAACTAGCAGCAAGGTAGAGGAGGCCAAAAATACGTTGTAGTTTCTTCTTGGAGAGAATTTGTGGATCTTCAGGTTTTAGCTATTTCTGACCACTATAGGCTAGGTGGCTTTGAGGCCTGCAGCTGTGCCTACATTCCTACCCTTGTTGCAGTATCCTCTGTCTATTCAATACCCAGATAAATGTACCTAGTGCAAAATTTAGACTCTTTTCTCATACTAGCATGTGGGTCAGAAACTTTGGGGAGACAAACTGTTAATTTTTTACGAAAACAAATTAGTGTGTTGTTTTGACTACACTCTTCATAACTTTGTCAAGCTATGCGGATTTAATAATTTTGTACATAGTTGCCTATTTGGAGATGTGTGAATGGTCAGCATTCACTCAATGAAATTCGTTCCTTGCCTTGGAGAACTCTCTTAACGTCACTCAGTGCTAACATCATGATCAGGAACTTGGAACACAAGAAAACGAGGCTGCTAACTCACATTATACAGTTCATAATGTGGCTTTGAAGCATCAATGCAAGACACTATTACAATGGTAGTCAAATAATTGCTCTTGTAAACATTGTGTGGCAGAACTATATTCCACTACGTTTAAAAGTAATTAAACTGTTCAATTCATCGAGGTACAATAAAAATGTTATTCTGGGTGGTCAATCAACTTTAAGGAACTTACCAAACTTCCTGCCAACTAAGGAAATAACTTCTACAAAGATAAAGGTTTCCTTTCTGCTTAACTGCATTCCAGAACAGCACTAAGTCTCTCAAAGTTTACAGTTCCTTCATTTTTCCACAGAATCATATGATATATATTCAAAACTTACATTGAATTCCTCCCGAAATAGTTTGCCATCATCAGCTGAGCGTTTCTGGACTTCATGTTCTAAAGCTTCTAACGGAATGGGGGGATACCACTTTGAAACTGTGGGAGATCTGTTGAGTAACATCACTGTCTGTTGCTCTGCTTGATCAGAAATTGATTTATGAGTTAATTAAAAACCAACAAACACAAGTGAAAGGTATTGGTGTATTACTGTATAATATTAAGTTCAGTTTGATCATAAGCAGGAACAGAATAAATGAAGAAGACAAGAATCAATAACCCATAGGGATTTTTATTTTACATTTGTGCTACTCCAAGAATACATCATGTAAATTTAACAGCACACTGCATTTGGTTTTAGCATCATTTAATATAATGGTTGAAAAACTGAGTAGTACATGCCCACATTTCAACATGAGCTGCTGATGAGTAATGTTTTCCAGGGGATACTAAAATCAAAAACATCTATAACTTTACACAAGTTCAGAATTCCACCATTCTTAAAATCACTTCACACTGAATCCCTCCTCTATGTGGAATTTTCATTCTGTTCACTTGTGGTATGATCATTCACTTAAATGCTCCTGTTCATGAACATTCTCAATGGGCTCATCTCACATTCACAATGGGACATGTTAGATCACCCCATTTTATTACTCCAAGTAAAATAAAGTTACCATTGGGTGTAACACTGAATCATACTGATCAGATGGTTTCAGAGTAGTGTTCTGGTTGTGCTAAGTTTCCACTTGGTTGCTGCAATTGATCTTTGTACCTTTTATCTATGGGGGACGAAAGGAAATCTTGCTTCAGATTGAAACAATGATATTGCTGGTGGAAAGGTCCCTTGTGTTGGTTTTGGGTGCTCAAACTCTGCAGTAAAACCCTCCATTACCAATTTGCCAGCCAAAGCTCACCATCTCACTGTTGTGTATAGGGGTTCCTTCAAGCCTGATGAGGTATAGTGTGGATATGCATAGCCCCGTTCTGATCTAACTATAAGAGCCATATTGAATAAACAGTATTAAGTTTATTGCATCACTGCAACGATTGACAGAGTACCTGTATATGATCGACTTTACCACAAAGACTGTTAACAGCACGCTATCCCTGGTTTTGTTCCTCCATCAGGTCTAGTTTGCTCTGACCAAGTCATCATGACATCATCACAGTAAGCAGTGCTTATCATACTCAATCAAGTATTAACTCCTTTAGACCCAATTAAAATATATCCCCTCCATATCCCCAAGTCCTTTTCCATCATAATTATTATATTGTTGTAGATTTGGTTATACATTTGTATTTTACCAGTAACCCATCTCTTCCCGACTCTTTGAATTTGCAAATCAAGAAGATCTGGAGGTTTCACTTGTATCCCCAAATATATTTGCTTTGGACTCCGAGTCATAATCATTGAGTCATATGGCATGGAAACAGACACTTTGGTCCAACCAGTCCATGCCGACCATAACCCCAAACTAAACTAGTTCCACCTGCCTGCGCTTGGCCCATATCCCTCAAAACACTTCTTGTTCATGTCCTTATCCAAATGTCTTGTCAATGTTGTAACTGTTCACTCCACACACAAGCCACTCTTTGTGTAAAAGAATTACCCCTCATGTCTTTTAAAACCTTTCTCCTCTCACCTTAAAAATATGCTCCCTAGACTTGAAATCCCCCATCCTAGGGAAAAGACACCTGCCATTCACCTTATATATACCCCTTGTAATTTTATAAACCTTTATAAGGTGACCCCTCAACTTGGAAGAATGGCTGTTGATTGGGTAGATGTTGGCCTATTGGATTGCTTTCCTGACTGCCTGAGGTCTGTAGCTGTCTCATGGACTGAAGGGTCTTAAACTTTTTGAACATCTTTTGCGGAGGATTTCAGGAATGCACAGCTGTCAGTGCAGTGCCTGATATAGCAAGCAAGCAATTCTTTCCTTTGCAGCATTTTAGATATTTGCACACTGTTTCTCTCTTCGATGTATGTGCCACATTTTCAATTGTGTCACTGAAAAGTTTTTCTTATTTTGCATTGGTTTTGTATTGAAGTAAGCAAAGTCAATACTTCACCTTCACCTTCTTGAACATTTTGGGCTTTCATCTTCCCTGTCAATGTTTGAAGTATCAGTGAAGCCAGCTCATTCATTTCCTCAATTGTGTTATTTGGGAATTCATTCTTGTTAGATGGGACACCCTTTATTGTTGTTGGCGTTTCTTCTCTGAAAGGCAGGACATCAGTCATTTTGCTTAACCTTGTCCTTTCTTAAACACCTCAGCCCCTAATGGCGGATTTGAATTTGGAGTAGATGGTTGTTCACTGTGATGTGTTAAAAGGTGACTTAATTCAGTTACAGATGGTTCTGTTGTCTGCCTGAAACTATACAAACTCTCAAGAGATATAGATAGATTGGTAGCTACCTCTTTGCTCGTACTTCTTCTCAAAATTTATTGCCACTTAGAACCTGAACTTTATTCAGTTTTAACAGCAGGAGAAAACGTTTCAGCCAAACCATTATAGTTACTATAACCATTGTTATAGTAATGAGGTTAGCCAGGTGAACATCATAGAATCTAAATTCTCTGATAGTGGCTGTTTACCTGGTCTAATCAGGGAGCCGTGGCTGACAGATAAGTACAGGAGTGTCAGTGAGCCTGTCCACTCTGAAATCTGGCTCTGAAGGAGCTGGACTAGCGTTAACTACTATGCACATATAAATCAAGGGTGACTTGGTGACGGGATACTGTCCTCTGTGGAGTTATTTCAGTAACTAACATCAGGAGATTATGCTTTAGGTTTAGGTTCCACAATGAGCATACAGTGTCCAGCAAAATTCTCCATCAGTTCTACCTTCCGTTTTGTAGGTTAACCTCTTCCACTTTCTCAAAGGGTTTAAGGTCAATACACACCCTTCCACTCAGGACATAGACATTTTGATTGTGAAGAACAAAGATTTTCTCGTATTTGGTGAGCCCTATGTTGAAGAATACCTTTAACACACAAGTGTAAAGCCATAGACCATGTCGCTGAGATTCTGTAATTGTCAGCAGTGTTTTGTCAACTAAACTCTCTATCTGACAATATTATGATATTTATTCCCATGTCTAACTTGAAAGTCATTAGATGCCTACTGACAGCATGCCAAAATATTTGGTCTAATTTCCCCTCAGAAAACATTAGGTTTATCTTTGACTGGAGATCCTTCTACCTTATTCATCTATTTGTCTGGAGAGGGTCTTTAATTATTTACTTTCCTGTGGATGTATCCTGCTTAGACATATTTTCTGAAAGTGACCCACTTGCTTACAATAAAAGCTTGTGGTTTTAAAAAAAATGCACTGTTTGCACCTGTGAGGTTTCATTGCTCCATAGTGTTAGATAACTCAAATATGTCTGTCAGCCACCTTACCTGCTGCATTGGCTTATCTGGTCTCCTTTTTTGAGGTTTTGTCCCTCAGAAAATGATTGAATTCCAAAAATCTTCTATGCCAGATTTTATCTTCTCCTTTTAGGAGTGATCTGTTTTGCTTCCAAACCTCTGCTTCACTCTTAATTGGAATGGCTTTTTCTCCGTCTCCTTTGGATTGTAATAATCTGACAATGACTCATCAGTGATGTCTACAATGATTCAGTCTCTTATAAATTCTGACTTAGGTCACCATTGTCACATTTTCCCACTAGATTCACCTGTATGTTCCATCTTGTCCTTTCAAGAACTGAAGTTGAAATAGCTGTCAGAGGATTTCAATACCTCTATTTTTTTTTAACCTTTCACTTTTCCTTTGGTGATAACATAAATTGCTGCACTCCCAATTGTGCAGAGATGTTCATTTACTTGCTCAGCTTCTGTCTTTCGATCTAGTTTAGAAGTTATTTTATCCCTCAAGAATTGTCTTCTCCAGAGTATCCAATTTCTGTTTGGTTCATCTCAGAAATGAAATTTTCCTGGCAATATTATTACTGGTGCCATAGCTTCCAAATGTGATTAGGTATTCCATCGTTTTTAAAAAGATTTTTATGCCGCAGTAAGGCAATTTGTCTGAGCTTACTGGTGTTTTAAGGTTTTTCTGTGTTGCAGAGCCTCAGTAACACTTATGCTGTGTTCCCCTGGTTTCCCTCAAATGCGTGTTTGGCAAGAATTGTATATTTCTTTAAAGTGCCTATTGCAATTTTCCTAACTCACCACTCCCAAAATATATGAGTTCTGCCTCATGGCCTTCTAAGTTAAATTTTTTTCAGCCCTGGATCATGGTATCTACACATTATGCCACTAACATTAAATCAGAGCTGGAACGTTCTCTGACTTTCACTCATGCAATCCTCAATGTGTGGTTGGCTCACTGAGTCAAATTGGAGTCAATCTTACTTCAACAGGCTAAGCCCGCACAATGCTGCTGTTCTATTGTTCTAAAAGTGCACATTGCTGGTTTTCCAATGCAGCTTCTGTCAAGTCTGACGTGCTTTCGGTCCCCTTCTCAGAAATATTCTTCCATGTTGAGTGCTTTCACAAGGTTTGTGGGGTTCACTGTCATCAGCAACCAGCCATTTGTCTTGAAGTCCTTTGGGTCACTAGCATGTTTTATTCTTTTTTTTCTGAAGGCATGAAGTCTAATATCTCTTAGTTAGCATCATTTAGATATAGTGCTGGTCAGTGTTGCTCACTGAGCTGTGACAGGTCCCACCACTGTCACAACATGGCTGCTCACTAGAAAACATGCATAAACAACAGGATGTTTATTGCATTTCTGCAGCTATTTACAGATAACACAGATATGACTACATTACTACATAGACTGTCAGGAGCATACTAGCCACAGAGATCTGTCACCTACCAGCTCTTTCTTTACTCTGCTAAATCCCTGTAACAACACCACAGTGGGTAGTGCTTACTACACTCAAACAGAACCATATACAAAACTCATTCCAAGCAGGAAGACTACCAAACTTGTCAGGTATCACAGTGACCTGTACTCATGCAATTTCACAGAATCATAGACTCCCTACAGTATGGAAGCAGGCCGTTTTGGCCCATTGAATTCACAACGACCCTCCAATGAACAACCCATCCAGACCCACCAACCTACCCTATCACTCTAACCCTTTATTTCCCAAGGCTAATCCACTGAGCCTGCACATCCCTGGACACTATGAGCAATTTAGCATGGCCAATCCACCTAACCTGCACATCTTTGGACTGCAGGAGGAAACCAGAGGAAACCCACACAAACACAGGGAGAATGTGCAAACTCCACACAGACAGTTGCCCGAGGGTGAAATTGAACCCGCGTCCCTGTCACTGTGAGGCAGCAGTGCTAGCCATTGAGCCACTGTGCCACCCAATCCTCATTAGAGGCGACATCTCCTGGGAGAGGAATGGAGCAACATGGTAGAAAACTAAGGAAACAGCATTTCCCTTTCACATAAGCTGAAATTGATATAATGAAAGAATAAGATGGGTTAAAACTCTGCATTCGGACAAATTCAACATATGACATGTAATGTGAACACTGCAGTCCCATTTCACCATGAAAGCAACTCAGATAAACTAAAGATGCAAAGAAACAAAACCCTCAGCTGTAAGAAGTCTGATTATTGTTTAACTAACTAGATTGCAAATTTTTAGCAATCAATCCCCTTTTTCTTGGATCTATTAATGATCCACACTTCATACCATACTTCAGTGAGTCAATTTGTGCAAAAACATAAATGAGTCTATGTAAATGGACTTTTATTCTGCTGATGTCGACATGTCAGCATGCTGGCAGTTCAACCTGCAGTGTGGATCCACACATCATACCTCACAGTTTGTGCTAGGCTTTAGGTGGAGGAGGAAAGCAGAGACCAGGAGATCAAGCAGGGTCATGTCCCAAGATGTCTCTACTTACCTCCCTCAAAGCGACTTGTGTGTGCCATGGGCAGAGTCACTGACTGTCTAGCTGGGCAACTACTGGATAGCTTGGCAAGTGTGTCAAGCGAACATGAACATGAAGGGGAGAAATAAAAAAAATGCAGTGGCTGCATTTATTTCATCTGACGGTTTGTGTTGTCTGAATAGATCAAAACATCGAAAATTCAGGAACAATCAGGGAGGTCAAAATCAGGTCGAAATGATTTCAGAGCTCATCCTTAGCAACGTCTAATTAATATTACAACCATAACTGTAAGAGCAGGATCTTAACAGAATTCCTAATTTAGTGAGATAGTTAATTTTGCCATCAAAAGAGCATAAAGAACGAATCTGAGCTTGGTAGTGGAAATTAGACTTTTATGATCTTCCCCATGAGACAGAACAAGGAAGTAAAAGGAAAGATTTCGTTATTATAGATATGATGATTTCATCATCTTTTTTTCTGAAAGGTTTAATTTTTGTCACAAGTCTATAAAGTGTGTAATAGAGTGCTAAGATGATCCAGGCCACATTTATACAGTATATTCACTGACATCTATTATATGAAATATAACAATTACAAAGAGTGTGCTACAAGCAATTTTGCATTAATCACATTGGGAAAAAATGAGAAAATATAGATTTGTATGCCCAAATTAATGCCTGGATCACAATGCATAATTTCCCTGCATGAAGTAATTAAAAATCATGAATTAAGTCATGATATATTTAAATTTTTCAGACATACATTTCGAAACAGAATGCAATGCACAAGGCAATGAAATTCATATGTAAATACATAATTTGCCTCTGATTCATGTGGTTTATTCCATTAGTCCGTAGCACCAGGAACTCTATGGATAGTTGTTGAATACAGTCATAAGCCACATGCCTGTTGTTTTGCAGTTCACGAATCACGCACAAAATAACCTATATAAGTTCAGTTACATGCAATTCAAATTGTTTCTTATACCTCTGTGTTGCATTTTTTCAATTCAGTTTTCGAACGTTATTTAGATCAGACCTCACATGCAAACACACACAAATAACGATTAAGAAACGCTGGAAAAATACAGCAGATTAGCAAGCACACAAGTTTATATACTGAAAAGGGTACCATTTTGATTCGAGATGTTTGATCAGAGCTGAAGGGCAGATTTTCAATCGCAGCAAAGGGCCTCTTTCTCAAAATTAACCTATCATTTTTTTTGTTCAGATGCTGATAAACTGCTGAGTATTTGCAGCATTTCCAGTTTCTACTTCAGAATTCTAGCACAAACAAACTCAAATTACCTTGTTCTTCTAAAATACCATTTGGAATCTTCTTTTCTCCCCCAATGACAACGTCTTTTCTTCTTTTTCTTAATCTTAAGATAAACATAAAATATAAGCACGTGAGCAAGTCATAAACTCACAACATGTTGGCATGTTTCATAGTTTCACATAAAGCACTTATCTTGCAACAGAGTTTAGCATTTTTTTTAAATTCCAGAAGTTAAAATAGTTAAATCTTAAGGTGTAGCAGAAAGGTATAGAACATCCATGTTATCACATGATTTTAAAGCATAAATTCGAGCAAAAGTAACTTCTAGGAAGTTAATAAAAGCAAATTGCATAACTGACTTATAAATAGATAACAATAGCTTGAGAGAAATAATTTGTTGTTTAGGATACAAGCCTAAGAAAGCAAGTTAGAAATGTGGCCGTTAGGCCTACATGACTTGAACCTGAAGAAAAGGAAATGAGTAATTGAGTTGAGCTACAAAGCAAGTCAGTACAAGTAAGCTTGGAACTGTGTTAACAGTGAAGCAGTTCTTGCGAAAGAAGCAAGACCCAGCCTGGATGTCTGCTATGTTACATACAAAATATTTCTGCCTTCTTGGCGTTGTAAAAGTTAGATTCTTCCAGACTCTCTCAAAGCACTCTCCTGAGTCCTTATCAGCAGCATCAAGTTTTGAATTGGTGGGTTGGGCAATACTTGCATTTCCTACTCTATAGCTGTCTTCCTGTGTGGCTTTAAATATAAGCTGCTCCACCTATTGACTAGTGGAGGTTTTGATCCTTTGATTTGAGTTTGTTAAAAAAAACGTTGGTTCCTTACTGTAGAGCGTGGTTTATTTTGAGTGTTTGGTTGCAAGGAAGCAAACATAAAAAGTTGCAGTGCATGAGAAATCTTCCAGTAACAACAGGACTGTGGAAAAGTTCTACAAGCACATTATGTCACCATGAAAATGTAAAAGCCCTTTACTATGCAATGCATGCATGCCGTCAGTGAAGCTGTGGTCTATATGCTCTGATCTGGATGCAGTTTTAAGCAGTGCTTTAATCAGATGTACATTTCTGTGGTCAACTCTGTCAAATTCTAGGTGTAGGTTTGTATACATGGTTGATGGTAACCATTATAGGAGGCACAAAGGAATTGACATTCAGGTGAAGTATAAAGAGGTGCAGGCAATTAAAGGGGAAAATGGGAAACTAGAGATTGAGTGGGGGTTAGGGATAGGATCGTAAAAACTGTTTCAACCCACTGACAAGCTTTATGCTGAAGACGCAGAGAGGCTCTCTAGAAACAAAAGAAAAGTCAATATGAAGACACAAACATTAACCTTTAACAGCAGCAAAAAAGCTTTGTTTCTGAAACTGAAATAGTGCTGCATGAGGTGGTGGCAAAGAGACTGGCACTGTTTATTTACAGAAATGAAAATCGATTGGAACTGTTAACTAAAATATCCCACATCAGCCAATTGCTGCTGAATGTTCAGTCCAGCCTTTTGTTGACATTAGGTTCACCTATTCCAATCTTTTCCTGAATGGCCTTCAACACTCCACAATCTGAGAGCTTCTAACTCTCTATCTAAAACTCAGCTGCTATTCTGCAACAAATATCATCACCTCTGTCCCTGCCCTTTTTTAGTTCTTGTTCCCTCAGTGATAGACATCAGAGTTGGTTAGGCAGATTAAAGATGGAATTGAAAGCCAGTCTAAGCAGTGGCAACCAATTCTTATGAAAAACCCATCAGATTCGCTAATGCCCTTCCAGAGCTGAACATTGCCATCCTTACCCTGCCTGGCCTACATGTGACTCCAGACCTGCAGTAATTTGTTTGATTCTTAACCACCATCTGAATTTGCTGAGCGAGCAACTTAGATCAAAGGCAATTATGGATGGCCAAAAAAATGTTGGCCTTACAGTGACCACCACTCCTGATGGCATTGTGGAACTACCAGGTCTCTGACTGGGCCTTGCAGCTGATGGCAAACCCAATGGCAATACATGAATTAGCTGCTGCTAGTAAAATTGAAGTAGAAGTCCAGCTGTCACCCACTCACCATCCATTGAGTCCTTGAACTGAAGGCTAAAGTTCTACTGTAACTTGTCAAATTGATGCCCTTTACTTCTGAAAAAAGTATCATTGCCTTGAAACACTGAACTCTGCTACGCTATCTCAGATGTTGCCTGGCCTGATTGATATGTCCAGTACTTTCTAATTTGATTTAGGATTTCCAACATCCACAGTATTTTGCTTTTGTATTACAGAGTAAATTGAGGATGATTTAATTTTCTGATAATTTGAAAGAAACTGTTCACTGATTTAGACAAGAAGTTCCTTGTGTTTTTTGCTGGAGAATGCCTGATGATGTAGAAAGAAGTATTGAACTCTTTTGTCACTACAGCAGAGCTATTAGAAAATGATTTGTAGAACACTGTGAGCAAATTGCTTTCACTGTACACTTCATAAATCTCCAAAGCAACTAGTTAATGCTTTACTAGGGATGTTTCCTAGAGGCACTTCTCAAGTCGTGTTACACTTAGATAATGCACAAGATCTCTTATAAGGCTGTAAATTGCAACAAATTTTCTGTCAGGTACACATTGATATCAATTATAGATATTTTAAAAAAAGTCTGAATTCTTACCTGAAATAAAGAACAACGGCAATTAATGTCACAATCGCCAGTGGTATAATTACATATACAGGAATATACACATCTGTATAAAGTAGAGAAAACTATTTTGTAAAGGAACACATATGCATTAAGATTATACACTTCTTTTACAGTAATGGCAGAAATTAGAAGATGGCCTATTTGAGATTTATTAGGTTGTTTGTGTTTCCTAATTGGTTTCTCTCCAGAAGTCACTGGAGGTTGCTATGCTACAGGAATCTTCAAACAAAGCCACATGATTATTCCTCATGTGCAAGCCCAAGACAGTGAACATTGGCAGGATAGTGAAGGTGGCGTTTAGTGTGCTTGCTTTTATTGGTCAGCACATTGAGTATAGGAGTCTGGAGGTTATGTTGCGGCTTTACGGGACATTGTTTAGGCCACTATTGGATACTGCATGCAATTCTGATCTCCCTGCTATAGGAAGGATGGTTGTGAAACTTAAAAAGGTTCAGAAAAGATTTACAAGGATGTTGCCAGGATTGGAGGGTTTGAGCTATAGACTGAGGCTATTTTCCCTGGAGCATCGGAGGCTGAGGGGTGACCTTATGGAGATTTATAAAAATATGAGAGGCATGGATAGGGTAAATTGACAAGATCTTTTCCCCAGGATGGGGGAGTCCAAAACTAAACGGCATAGGTTTAAGGTGAGAGAAGAAAGATTTAAAAGGGACCTAAGGGGCAACATTTTCACGCAGAGGGTGGTGCGAGTATGTAATGAGCTGCCAGAGGAAGTGGAGGAGGCTGATACATTCACAACATTTAAAAGGCATCTGGATGGGTGTATGAATAGGAAAGGTTTATAGGGATATGGTCCAAATGCTGGCAAATGGGACTGGATTTATTTAGGATATCTGATCGGCATGGATGAGTTGGACCAAAGGGCTGTTTCCGTGCTGTATATTTCTATAACTCTATGTGGTTGCAAAAAGGTGCTAAGCCAGCCCTCATATTATCCTGTTCGTAAATGTATGCAATCCAGCAGAGATCGTCAGATAACAATCATCATCAGGAAACCCACCTTCCAGGGATCCCAGACCACCCTCTGAAGGGAACAGGAGGAAGTGGGTCAGGAGGTCAATGCATGTACTCGGACTCTCAGGATCTGGCAGCAGTCTCGTGAGTTAAATTATCTCAAATGATTGGCCTGTAAATACATTGTGAACGGGCATCTCCTACTTATCATACCATCACCAAGTTGCTAGTCAGTGTGTCACACCCATCACCAGTTGTTAGCCTTCAGGACTCAGACCTAATATTCAGCTACTCCAGCTCACTCTCAAACCCATTCCAATCCTGCCAGCCTCACACCCAGCTCATGCTGTTTCCACGTACCTCTAGCTATTCACCTATGGCAGGCACATCATTCAAACAATATAACACAACCACTTCTCTCTTGCAGGGCAATTCGGCCCTCAATAGGAAGGGGAGGAGTAGTCTTTGGAGGAGATGATTCTGACTGTGACAAATCTGTGGCAAGTGGCATTGCTGAGATCATTCGGGATAATGAGATATCCATGTCCCTTCTGTTTCCTACCCCAGCCTGATCCTGCTTTCTGACAGAGTGGGAAAACAATTGATGCCACCATCATTTCAACCCCTTGCACCTATTGCCCTCACTTCAGCTTTCCTCTTCTGATGTTATGCTTTCAGATACTCAAAAGCTGCAACCCAAAATAGAGAGGGGCAATGGGACAGCACAGATTAAAAGACCTGACACTAGCAACCACTGGTTCAGATAAGGGCACTGTACATACCTTAAAGTTAGGATCAAATGAATTAGGAGGAGGAGTAGGCCTATTGAGCATAGTCCACCATTGAATAAGCTCATGGTTGATGTGATTAAGGCCTCAATACCACGTTCCTGCTGGCTTCAGTAACCTTCGAGTCCCTTGTTAATCAAGAATCTATTCATTGTTACTTTAAAAAGACTACTTTAACCAGAGATAACAAGGTGTAGAGCTGGATGAACATAGCAGGCCAAGCAGCATCAGAGGAGCAGGAAAGCTGACGTTTCGGGTCTAGACCCTTTTCTGACGCTGCTTGGCCTGCTGTGTTCAGCCAGCTCTACACCTTGTTATCTGAGATTCTCCCGCATCTGCAGTTCCTACTATCTCTGAAACTACTTTAACCGGTCTCTTTTTAACTTTTTTTATTCAGCTGTGGGACTTGGGCATCAGCGTCTGGCCAGCATTTATTGCCCATCCCCAGTTGCCCTTGAGAAGGTGGTGGTGAGCTGCCTTCTTGAACCATTGCAGTCCTGCTGTGGGTTGACCCACAATGCCAATTAGGGAGGGAATTCCAGGATTTTGATCCAGCGACACTGAAGGAATGACGATATATTTCAAAGTCAGAATGATGAGTGACTTGGAGGGGAACTTGCAGGTGGTGCCGCTCCCATGTAGCTGCTGATTGTCCCCTTCTAGATGGAAGTCATTATGGGTTTGGAAGCCGCTATCTGAGGATCTTTGGTGAATTTCTGCAGTGCATCTTGAAAACAGTACACACTGCTGCTACTGAGCATCAGTAGTTGCGGGAATAGGTGCTTTTGGATATGGCACCAATCAAGCTGGCTGCTTTGTCCTGGATGGTGTCAAGCTTGTTGAGTGTTTCTGGAACTACTCCATCACACTCCTAACTTGTGCCTTGATGGATTGACTCTGGGAAGTCAGGAGATAGATTACTTGCCGCAGTATTCCAATCCTCTGACCTGTTCTTGTAGCCATTTACGTGGCTAGTCCAGTTTAGTTTCTGGTCAGTGGTAACTCCCTGCATGTTGATAGTGGTGGATTCCGTGATTGTAACACCAATGAATGTGAAGAGGCAGTGGTTAGACTATCTCTTATCGCAGATGGTCATTGCCTGGCATTTGTGTGGTGTGAATGTTACTTGCCACTTGTCAGACCCGTCCTGGATCTTGTTGCATTTGAACATGGACTACTTCAGTATCTGAGGATGGTGCTGAACATTGTGCAAACATCGATGAACATCCCACTTTTGACCTTATGATGGAAGCAAGGTCATCGATGAAGCAGCTAAAGATGGTTGGGCCTACGACACTATCCTGAGGAACTCCAGCACAGATGTCCTGGAGTTGAGATGACTGACGTCCAACAACAACAACTATATTCCAATGTGCCAGGTATGACTCCAACCAGTGGAGAGTTTGCCCCCTGATACCATTGATTCTAGTTGTGCTAGGGCTCCTTGATGCCACACTTAGTTGAGTGCAGCCTTGATGTCAAGGGCTGTCACTCTAATCTCACCTCCTCATCCCTGTCTTCAATGGGACACCCCTTATTTCTCAGCAGTGCCCCCTACCCCTGGTTATACTGTTGCCTACTAGAGAAAATATCCTTTCAGCATCTACCTTGGCATATCCCCTCAAGATCATATATGTTCAATAAGTCATCTCGCATTTATCTAACTCCAATGGATGCTTGCTGAATCTATCCAATCTTTGTTCGTAAAATAATCCTTTCATCCCAGAGTCAATTAAGTTAACTTCCTTTGAACTGTTTCTTATACATTAAAATTTTGTTTTAAATTAGGAAACTAAAACTGTGTACAGTACTCCAAAAAAATGGCTTACCAATGGTTTACATAGCTATGGCAAAATATCTCTATTTTTATATTCCTTTCCCCTTGGATTAAATGAAGACATTCCATTTGCCTAACTTATCACTTGTTGTATCTGCAAGCTAATTTTTTAAGGTTCGTGTACCAGCACTCCCAGATCCCTCTGTGCTTCTTTGAGTTGTGCAATCTCTCCATTTAAATAACATGTTGCTCATCTCTGCATCCTGCCAAAGAAGCCTGGCTCACAGGATTGGCATATGAAGAGTCACTGAGCCTGAGTGGACTGCAGCTAATGGGAAAAGCACAGCTTACCAGACAGTTAGGTCATAGATACTAGGGCTCAGATTAAGACCTCTTCTACAGGAGAATCCTGATAACAGGATGCATACCAAGATCTGAACATATTGGCTTGCCTACTGGACAGCCTCCTGTTAATATCAAGGAACACTGAAGATTCCTCTTTCAACTTGGTATAAGCCATCTCACAAAACCTCTCCTCCCTGCAGCCTTGTCTCCAGCTCTCTGTCATCCTGTAGCTATCAAGGCAATGTAACTACTGCCCCATACCAATGTCAGCCAGTGCATGAACAGCTCCCATATTTTTGTCCTCACACTCCTGATATTTTGTTAGCAGTACACTGCATTGTTTCTCAATCATTATTTGTAACAAACCAAATATACAAGAACCCAAGAAGTGCCAGAAGAATAATTTTGTTAGTTTGTGGCTCACTGTAAATTCTTTTTTTTTCTGATATGAACTTTCAACAGCTGTATGTTTACATTTTTAGCGTGGAATGTTTGGCTGCTGCCAGTCTTAGTGAACAATATAGTTGAGATAAACAGCTGCCAATTCACCACTAAATATCTGCTTGGTAGATAATGAAACAACATGCCAGGACATGCTGGATCAGCATTCGCAGATTGCAGCTCCACAGCAGCATTGGACAACTAGAGGCACAACATTCAGTGGTGGGGTGAGTGCATTAGCATAACTTCAAGCATTGTTTAAAGGTAATCTGGGAAATGTGTACGAATGTTAACGTTCAGGGAACTCCAGGATATTAGGCTCAAATCTTAGTGTCAAACAGTGGGGGAGATGATGGCCTAGTGGTGGTGTTGCTAGACTATCAATCTAGGAACCCAGGTAAAGTTCTGGGAACCTGAGTTCAAATCTTGCCATGGCTGATGGTGGAATTTAAATTCAATTTTAAAAGAAGCCCTCCAGGGAAGGAAATCTGCCATCCTTACCAGGTCCGGTCTACCTGTGACTCCAGAACCACAGCAATGTGATTGACTCTTAACTGCCTCTGGGCAATCAGGGATGGGTAATAAATGCTGGCCTAGCCAGCAATGTCTTCATCCCATGAATGTATTTAAGAAAAAGAATGCAAGCTCATGCAGGTAAGAGCTCGGAGCACCTGTTAGTATTGCAAAAGCACATCGGCAAATGAATATTGGCCAGACCACGGGATTCAGAAAGGAAAGGAAGCGCTATCAGGGGGTAAGGATCTAGAAGGACTACAGATCAGTGGCCAGGGCGAGATAAGGGATTTCAGAGCTTGGAGTGGCAATGATTAGAGTGGCACTTGGCAGGTGAATAACCTCCCAATTGTCCCGTGAAATGTTAGCTTTACAATTTTGGCCAGCATTGACTCTGTCTGCCTCAGGACAAACTAACTGCTATTGCAGGGACCTGAAACAGGTGTAAGGATTTTTACTTCTGCATATTTAAACAGCCTTTTTTCACTCGGGTGCAAGGCTGGCACAACGCTGTTTTTACACAATATAGTATGTTAAGAGAACAGGCTACAGTACTCTCATTTCTCAACAGTTGGTGGTCCAAACTATTCAATTAAATTATGGAAGTGTATAACATATGCGTATTGAATACTGAGTTTAATTACAAATGTAAGTTCCCAGCAAATGTCTTCTCCTGAGACTGCCAGTCAAGGTTTGTTTTACTCTCCACAAACCCATGGGTTTAAATGATCTGAAAATGTGTTCCTGGTGAATTTATTGGAACATTTTAGCTCCACGAGAGCTGCGTATAGATGCAATGCTGAGGCTGTCAAAGGCCTCACAACTTGCCATCCACTGACTTTACATGGAAAGGCTGCACTTATTTGTGCACTTCCTGCAGAAGATGTGACAGTGCCTGTGATGTCACAGACAGTGACGTTCCATGCAGCTGCCTGCATTAAAGATGGCAAAGGTCACAAAAAGGCAGATGAAACAAAAATGTAGCACTGTAATATTTCCTCCAACTACTCCTGTACCATTCTGCCTTCACCACACTGCCTCCTGCTGCCACCAGGCTACTCCTCCCTGCTCCATGTCCCTACTTACCACAGCTTCCCCTTTTCACACACCCTTCCCCCTCCCCAGAATCACACCTTCACCATTCTCTCACATCTCGTCACTGATCTCTTCACTGCTGGCTCATTTCCCTGCACTCCCTTCTGTACAAATCTCCTTCACTGCTTCCTTCCACTCCCTGTCATCTGTTCCACCAACCCCTCCCACCTGAGGCATTGGCAAAGTGTGGCATCAGGGGATATGTCAGGGAAATAGCGAGGAGCTGCAGAAAGGATTGGGCATTAAGGGGTGGGGTGTGGTCGTGAAATGGAGGAGGAGGTGGCACTGGTTTTGGTCATGGGTTGCAACAGGAAAGGGTAGGACAGGACAGAGTGGGCAATGGGCAGGAGCTGAATTTCATGAACTGGATGGCCAGCTGTGAATGTGCAATCACAAGTTTGCCTATTCTTTTTGAGCTGGGAGAAACCATGTGTATTTGCAGACAGAATGGAAGCTAACTTCCCAATTTTCTTTTCCTGCTCAGCAGCTATAAACAAAAAAACACGGCTATTCTGGCACCATTGTTCTTGAGAAATACTTTTGGAATCTGGTCATCCACAGTGAAGGCTCTAACTACAGATCTTAGCAATCAGCTCCAATAAACATGGACAATATCAGAGTCCCATTACTTACGTTTCGAGTTAGCAGCGGGCTTCGAGGTTTGCACTGTTGAGTTCGCAGATAATTCCATTGAATTTTGGATTGTTGACAACTGTGAATTTATATCTTCAGAAGTATTCGTCATCATGGCACTGCAAGTGCAAAAACAAAAAAGGTATTCAATCAAAAATGTGTGGTATTATCAGCAGTGCAGGCAGAAGTGTAAAATTACAAATAGATGTCCATAGATTAAGTGAATGGGCAGAACTATGGAAAATGGATTCCAATGTAGGCAAAGATGAGTTCATCCACTTTGCTCCTAAAAAGGTACTTTCCAAATTCTGAAAAGTTGGAAACAATGAAAGTCCAGAAGATACTTGGGGCTCAAGTACATGTGTTAGTAATCTTTGAACAGGTATAAAAATTAATCCAAAAGACTAATGGAATTCTGCCCTTTATATTCAGAGGACAAGAATACAAGGGCAGAGTTCATGGAGTACCATACCTGGAGTACTTTGAATGTTTCTGGGTAGTACATCTTAGCAAGAATATACTGGCCTACGCTCAAATGTTACTTGGAATCATGGGTTAAGCTACGAGAAGCGATTGAACAGCTTTAGGGTTGATTCCCAGGAATATAAAGGTTAGAGAATGATTTGATACATGTTTCAAGTTATTAAGTGGAATGGTATGATTCAGCAGAAAGACAGTATCTCTATCCATGGGAGAACGTATGGCTGGGGCACAGTCAAAAAATTGGAGCCAGACCTTTCAGGAGTGAAATTATGAAACACAGATGGAAGTTTGGAAATTTCTTCCATGAAAGGCAATTAATGGTAGATCAATGGTAAATTTTAAAATGAATATTAATAGATTTTTGATAATCAAACACATCATTGGATATGGGACAAATGTAGTTATATGGTGTAGATGGGTCACTGGACTCGAAATGTTAACTCTGCTTTCTCTCCACAGATGTTGCCAGACCTGCTGAATTTCTCCAACAATTTCGGTTTTTGTCATCGTCATATAGTGTTCAGTAGTAGATCAACCTTGATCTCAGTGAATGGCAGAACAAGTTAAAAGTGCTATGTGGACTACTCCTATTCCTAAATTATTATATTTCAAAAGTTTGCAAACTGTAAAATTTGACTCCTCAAACCCAAACACAGATCATTTATACTGAATGAGACATGTGACTATCATTTATAGAATAACAACCATATTAGATACTTGTGGAGCCCATAGCAACATGAATGAGTTCTCATGAGCCATGGCAAGTGATTCAATGTGAGGATTCAGGCATAATTTGTAAACTACTTGCACATTTCATAATCAGTGTGTCCAATGCATCCCACATGTATCTGATTAACTGACACATCATTGATGAATTCATTTTAAACTAGCCTGTGAAACCTTCTTTCTTTTTTAACATGCTTGGGTGCAAAGCAAATTTCAATGTTGACAGAGCTCAGAACGGAAAATGTTCAGGCCTTGCATTTCTTAATTCATGGATTTGGACCAAGCAGAAACCATTACTTTTGCTTGAATCAGGAAATGGCTGTTACCAATATCCAGCAGACGATACATTGGAAAACAATGAAACCATTATGACCCAGCTAATTAATGCTGCTTGGTTGACGTCATGTAGCAGGCAAGGGGAAAACCAAGCAGGAGATGACAGCACTAAATGTATACATCACTGAAGATTGTGAAGTGATGACACATAAGACAGGAGATCTTCACCAAGCTGAAAGTGCTGGACTGCCTCCCAAGATGGTGGAAATGTTATGCTTACAATGGTCCACAAACTTGGCTATCTGAGGAAACAGAGTGTTATTGGATACCATCTCTAACATGACATTAATGGCATTCACTTCGACAGAGCAAGATGGACTCAAAGTAGGAAAATTTACTCACAATCTGCTACGACTTCCAATGTATTCACTCCAAAAGTTTAACAAGAGAGTGTACATTAATTGGATTAGAGTGGAAACAGCTTTCTCAGCTTTACATCCCCAGCCAGATGATCTGACAGACACTGCAGAGAGGCTGCACAACTGATTGCAGAGAAGGCCTGGGCCACCCACACACACACACACACACACACACACACATTCAGATCTTCCCACAGCATGCAGAGGGAACATTTCTTTGCTGGCGATAGTCCAGCACAACATGGGATAATTTTTCAAATCAGAGCCAGGCCTTTCAACAGACTCAGAAGTCTAAGGGTTCTTCCTCAAAAAGCCATAGATGCCAGTTCATTGATTAGCTTAGATGAAAGTTGATAGAGTTCTGTTGTAACCAAGGTATTGAGGAGTTATAGATTAAATGGAGGTAAATAGTGTTCAGATGAAGAGTAGCAATGATTAGCCAGATCTTATTAAATGGAAGAATAGGTTGGAAGAGCTGAACAGCCTACTCTTAGTCCTATGCTTCTACATCATAATTTATGTGTAATCCAATTTTTGTAAAGAGCAGAACAATGCCTGAGGTGCAGAGATAACATCGGGAAATTGGAGTTTGTTTGGAGAATTGGATTCTCATGCTTTTATGTTGGGTCCTTCCAGTTTTTGTGGGAGGGCATTCCTGGTGTGTTTTTATGTACAGTATTACAAATCTCACATCTTAATGTTTGGGCTTCTTATTTTTGTCTAAGGCAAAGGGAAGAAAGAAAGAACTAGTGTTTTTCATAAAGTCTTTAATATTTTCAAGTCAATTCAAAGCTTGCTTCCTAGTTCCTCAATTGCTTTATTAAGATTCACACTCAGATTGTTGTTCACAACTCACTAACTAGTTCTGACAGGTACACTCCGTTGTCAGCTCCAACAGAAGAACATTCTTACGTGATGAAATTCCCTGAAGCACAGACAATTACAATCCAATCGTCATTCCATATCTAATAATAGTACATGTACATCTTGAGTGTCATAATGCAGAGGCATCAGCTCATGACGAGAGATAGGAAACTAATGGGATATTCAGAAATATTCCACAAATGTCAGAAAGCAACAGCAGCACCTTCTCAAGGATGTAAAATAGCTTTTAAAGGAATATAAATGGCAAAATAACTGACATTTCTCTTCAATTAAAATAATCAGATAGGAGCTAAAACAATTACAAATAATCCACTGGGGACAGGGAATTGTAAGATGGGACCAGTCCTGGCTCCCAAAAACCACGTGGGGCTGGTGGGAGAAAAGAGTCAATGGAGTTCCACTTTAATTGACCTGGCCATGGGTTTGGGAATCAAGGATTGATAGCGAGAATAGAGACGAGACTGCGCAAGTATTGTCTCGATTTAAATAAACCCTGGCAACTACTACTTCAGCTCCCATTTCTCTACTTCACTTTCAAAGATCATGGAATGTTTCAAGACAGCCTGGATGCCAGGAATCCAGGATAGGGCAGAAGAGGGAGCTCTGTATCTTGAAGAGTGGCAGGAGCAGGCCACACACCTAGTTCAAGTAGGCTTAGCTGATGTACTAATATCATGAGTGCATTCTGGCTACTGAGACAGACAAATACTGGGCACCTACTCATGCAAACTGATGAATGCTTATGAACAATATACATTTGATACAGAAATCGAGCTCTCCTTTTAGTCATAAGCAACTGAATTTAATATCATAAATGCCCAATAAAGTAACAGGATTAAAGTTTACTAAGTGACAAATCACTTGAGTGCCAGTACACCATTATATACAAGGACTAGTACCGCGGGTAACACCTCAATAATTCAAAAAGACTGCCAGTACCTTCTCTATAACCTTTCAATAACTTCATTATATTATATTCATTATGTCTTAATTTGGTATAAATTTTGGTTGAGATTTATATGCTATTTATGAATGAACACTATCACTGCTGAAGAAGTATCTGAGATCTTGAATACAAACCAACAATCCATTCATATGCTCTGAGGGAGTCATATCAGAGTCATTCACATGTTTCGAAGATTCAGATCATATTCGAAGCTGTAACTTTGTCCGTCTCTCCGCAGATGCTACTGAGGTTCTCTAGCAAATTTCTGCACTTTTATTTCAGTTCTCCCTCATCTGCAGTCCTTTGCTTTTATTTATCTATTTACACCATGTTGCCATACAATTATCTCCATATGTATCTCCTTCACAGGGAAATGATTAAACTGAGAAACAGTCTCTATCAACTACTGTGATACTCTTCTCTGTCACAAGAGATTGCTAGCTGCATTGCTGGTGTCAGTTAGTGAAGATGCAATTTGTTAAGTGGGAGGCTGCATAGAAAATGTGAACAATTTCTCTTCACTTTTGATGTGCACAGAGACCTGATCCACAAGCATTACTTTAATCCAAGGATCAGTACGTTACTGAATGACACAGAATTTACAAAGTGCACAGATGACATCTTATGGTGGATAATTGGCACTGCAACAAGTCAGCATTTCTGTTGTGATAGCAGGAACTGCAGATGCTAGAGTCAGAGACAACACAGTATGGAGCTGGAGGAACACAGCAGGCCAGACAACATCAGAGGAACAGGAAAGTTTCAGATCGGAACCCTTCTTCAGAAATGGGTACGGGGAAGGGAGCTGGGAAATACATAGAGAGAGGAGGGGTGGGGCTGGGAAAGGTAGGTCGGATGGTGATTGGTGAATGCAGGTAGGGAGTGGTGGGGATTGGTCAGTGAAGCGGGAGGGGCGGGATAGGTGGGAGGAGATGGGCAGCTTGTGAGAGGTCAAGGAACTGGGGATGAGAGGGAGGGAGGGTTGGACATGGGATGAGGAGATTTTAAAACTGATGGATTCCATGTTTAGGCCATTGGGCTGTAGACTCCCGAGGCAGAATATGAGGTGTTGTTCCTCCAGTTTGCTTGTGATGTCATTGTGACACTGGAGGAGGCCCAGGATGCTCATGTCACCCAGGGAGTGGGAGGGGGAGTTAAAATGGTTGGCAACTGAAAGGTATTGTCACTTGTCGCGAACAAAGCACAGGTGCTCTACAAAACGGTCTCTGAGCCTCCACTTGGTCTCACTGATGTAGAGGAGGCCATGTCGGGAGCAGCGGATACAGTAGCCCAAGTTGACAGATGTGCAGGTGAACCCCAGTCTGATGTGAAAGGTTTGTTTTGTGCCTTGAATGGAGGTGATGGGGGGAGGTATAGGCGCAGG